ATGTTGAAAGTCTTTAATATGAAGGTTTTACTACAAGTATCACATAAAATTATCGATGATCCATGAACATGAAGTCCTGGTCAGATGAACCATGCCAGACAAACAAGTACACCTAATGATCATTGCATACACCATATATAGTGGTCTAATAGCTTTTAGTATTGGAGAATCAGATCAACTCTCAAAATCTTAACATTGACCAATGAACCATGAAAATGAGGTCAAGGTAATATGATCCTGCCAGACAGACCTACCTTAAAAACATTCCATATACCAAATATAAATGACCTATTTCTTATAGTAAATGACTTACATAAACACAAAATCTTAACGACTAATGAACCATGAAAATGAGGTCAAGGAGAATGGATACGAGACTGAAACTTCGTAACTCAAGGTATGAAGCACCTAGCTATTCTACCTTCTGGAATATAAATCTTTATCCAAATAGTTTATGCTGTCACTGCTGGGTTGTAATCCTGGTATCTCTTTCTTTGACGAAAGTTGCAGGCCAGACAAAAATTATTCACTCAGTTATTGGACTGCAGCAATACAGAAATAAATAAACTGTGATATGTCTCGCCTTTTTAGCTCACCTGGCCTAAAAGGCCAAGTGAGCTTTTCTTATCACTTGGCGTCTGTCGTCCGTCGTCGTTAACTTTCTACATTTTGAACTTCTTCTAGAGAACCACTGAATGGAATGAAACCAAACATTGCATGAATATTCCTTATGAGGTGATGACCAAGTGTTGTTACTTTGTAGCTGATCCAAGATGGCCACCAGCGGGGGACTTCTTTAAACATTGGACCCTATGGGAAATACATACAAATGTTTTCATTTAGAGAACCACTGAATGGAATGAAACCAAACATGGCATGAATATTCCTAATGAGGTGCTGGCCAAGTGTTGTTACTTTGTAGCCAATCAATCATCCAAGATGGCTGCCAGTGGGAACTTAGTTTAACAAAGGACCCTATGTGAAATACATACAAAAGACTTCTTTTGAAGAACCACTGAATGGAATGAAACCAAACATGGCATGAATGTTCCTTATGAGGTGCTGACCAAGTGTTGTTATTTTGTAGCAAATCCATCAACCAAGATGGCTGCCAACAGGGGACTTATGTCTTTATCTAGAAAACCGCTAAATGGATTGAAACCAAAAATGGTATGAATGTTTCTTTTGAGGTGCTGACCAAGTGTTGTTACTTTGTAGCTGATTTGTCATCCAAGAAGGCTGCCAGCAGGGGGAGTAAGTTTAACATAGGACCCTATGGGGAATACATATATGTTTTCTTCTAGAGAACCACTGAATAGAACAAGAGTGCACACGCTGAAATGTCTCGCCTTCTTTACTAATCATTGATATTATGTCGATAGTCCTAAATATAAAGCTTTATTACAACTGTCACATAAACTTAACATTAACCAAGTAAACTAAACATTGACCAATGAACCATGAAAATGAGGACAAGGTCAGATGAACCATGCTAGGCAGGCATGTAGCTAACAATTCTTCCGTACAACAAATATAGTTGACCTATTGCTCATAGTTTAAGAAAAACAGACCAAAACACAAAAACTTAACACTGAGCAATGAACCTTGAAAATGAGGTCAAGGTCAAATAAAACCTGCAAGACTGACATATAGATCATAAAATATTTCCATACACCAAATATAGTTGAACTATTGCATACAGTATAAGAAAAAAAGACCAAAACTCAAAAACTTAACTTTGACCACTGAACCATGAAAATGAGGTCAAGGTCAGATGACACCTGCCAGCTAGACATGTACACCTTACAATCATTCCATACACCAAATATAGTAGACATATTGCATACAGAATAAGAAAAACAGACCAAAACACAAAAACTAAACACTGAGCAATGAACCTTGAAAATAAGGTCAAGGTCAAATAAAACCTGTGTGACTGACATATAAATCATAAAATATTTCCATACACCAAATATAGTTGAACTATTGCATATAGTATTAGAAAAAAAGACCAAAACTCAAAAACTCAACTTTGACCACTGAACCATGAAAATGAGGTCAAGGTCAGATGACACCTGCCAGCTAGACATGTACACTTTACAATCATTACATACACCAAATATAGTAGACATATTGCATACAGAATGAGAAAAACAGACCAAAACACAAAAACTTAACACTGAGCAATGAACCTTGAAAATGAGGTCAAGGTCAAATAAAACCTGCGTGACTGACATATAGATCATAAAATATTTCCATACACCAAATATAGTTGAACTATTGCATATAGTATTAGAAAAAAAGACCAAAACTCAAAAACTTAACTTTGAGCACTGAACCACGAAAATGAGGTCAAGGTCAGATGACACCTGCCAGCTAGACATGTACACCTTACAGTCCTTCCATACACCGAATATACTAGACCTATTGCTTATAGTATCTGAGATATGGACTTGACCACCAAAACTTAACCTTGTTCACTGATCCATGAAATGAGGTCGAGGTCAAGTGAAAACTGTCCGACAGGCACGAGGACCTTGCAAGGTACGCACATACCAAATACAGTTATCCTATTACTTATAATAAGAGAGAATTTAACATTACAAAAAATCTTAACTTTTTTTCAAGTAGTCACTGAACCATGCAAATGAGGTCAAGGACATTAGACATGTGCCAGACGGAAACTTCGTAACATGAGGCATCCATATACAAAGTATGAAGCATCCAGATCTTCCACCTTCTAAAATATAAAGCTTTTAAGAAGTTAGCCAACGCCGCCGCCGCCGGATCACTATCCCTATGTCAAGCTTTCTACGACAAATGTCGCAGGCTCGACAATAAAACCAAACATGGCATGAATGTTCCTAATTAGGTGTTGACCAAGTGTTGTTACTTTGTAACCGATTCATCATCCAAGATGGCTGCCAGCAGGGGACTTAGTTTAACATAAGACCCTATGGGAAATACATACAAATGCTTCTTCTAGGAGCACTGAAAGGAATGAAACCAAACATGGCATAAATGTTCCTTATGAGGTGCTGATGGAAGTGTTGCTACTTTGTTGCCGATTTATTGTTTAAGATGGCCACCAGGATTTTTGATTAAATTACGGGGCCAATATTAAACCAAACTTGGCCTCAATCATTACTGTGGATTCATTATTATTCGTTAGGTACCAAATTTCGTGGATTTCGTGGGTACAGGTAAACCACGAATTTAAATGTTCAACTAATCACAAATTTTCTATAAGATTGTATGCAGACTTTGGCAAAACCACGAAATCAAGTGTCCACGAAAATGCAAGTTTTCCTCAATCCACGAAAATTGGTACCCACGAAAATAAATGAATCCACAGTATTAGGGTATCTGTTATGAATTCAATCTATTTTTTACATGATTTTCCAAACCAAAGTAGAATCAGGTGAGCGACACAGGCTCTTCAGAGCCTTTAGTTGTTATTTTGATAGTAAAATGCAAATGTTGAAATAAAAATAGCAATACTTTAACATGCAAGTTATCCAAAATATTCAGTCAATGAACCATGACTGAAGGGGCAGGGCCAAACAATTTTTATGGAAATGAGATGTGCCAATGCAAATACAACTGCAAACCAAATATCATTGACCCACCACTAGTGGTTCCCCATAAAAGATTCATCAACTGATCTAATCAAACCAATACATGTAAACTAAGCAAAGGTTTCCAAGTCCATAAACCATGACTGAGGGGGCAGGGCAAAGTAATATCCATGGAAATGAGATGTGCCAATACTTATACAACTGCAAACCAAATATCACTGACATACCACTAGTGGTTCCCCATAAACTGACCTATTCACAAACTAATACATGTCAACTAAGCAAAAGTTTCAAAGATAATGGACCAGGACCAAGGGGAAAGGGACAAATAATATTCATGGAAATGAGATGTGCCAATGCTGTTACAACTGCATACCAAATATCATTAACCTTAACCTACCACCAGTGATTCCCCATAAACTGACCTAATATATTGTTGACACCACCACCAGAAATAGCATACCCGTCTTGTTATTTGAGGCTGTCAAGGTGAGACAACAACTATTCTAAAATACTGTACAGGACAAATAACTAGGGAAACAAACTCTTAAGACAATAAGATATACAAAAACAAAATCCCCAGCACCTTAGTCCTTTAAAATTGTAAACCCACTGTTCCAAGTATAATTCAACTCATCTTAATTTTTCTTTCTTCACAAAAACTATTTGCAGTCACAGGAAACTCATTTTTATGAAAATTTTGTACAGGTTCTATTGGTCTAGTAATTCTTGCAGGCCCAATAGCATTTAAAGAAACCTGGGGTTGTAGGCCTGTTGCCAAGTGTGACAACTGAAATTATAAAGTTCAGCAGTATACATATATGTGGCTAAATGGCCCAGGTTTGCAGAATATACAGCAGCTAATTGTACATCAGTTGTTAACTAGCTTTAGATCATCTAAATTTTATCTGCAATGGACTATTTGCCAGTCACCTTTTCAACGATGCATTCATATTTTGTAACCTGTCCACTTCTCCAAAGGCTATGCATTAAATGTTAGGCCTAGGAACACCAATATTTTTTTCATACAACTTAACATTCATTTCACATGTCTGATAGAGACATCCCAACAAAAATTCCAAGTGCTTAAAATAAATCAGAATAAAAGATCTATTTTTGTTTTTCATAAGGCATAGACAATTGTTACTGAAGACCTCCATAGATAAATTTTTTTTATTTTGTGTAATAGATTTTTGTAGATGACACAAGCAATCAAGAGTTGAAGATATTTAAATATGCACTTAAAAAAACACCTCCAACAGGATAGATTTCTATGCGGTATGGATTTTGCTCATTGTTGAAAGGCTGTACAGTGATCTCAACATCATTTGGTCTCTGGTGAAGAGTTCTCATTGGCAATCATACCACATCTTTTTATTTTTTGAGAAAGTTGAATATCTTGACACATAATTCACTAAGAGATTATTTAAAATGCTTTTATTTTTCAAAACAATAAAATGGTCAATGAATCGATTTATGCCAAAACAAGTGCTCCAATGATTTTTTAACTTCAAAGACCAACTTATTAATAAAAACCCATAACCATATCTATTTACAAATAAAACAAAGACAACTGATTTTAATTTAAAATATATTTGTTCTTGTACATGAATATTTACAGTTTACATGATAATATACAACTAGTAATAAAAATAAGCATCAACTTAATAAAATTTATGCAATGATTATGGCAAACAATGTCCTTAAAAACCTCCATCAAAATTATTTCGAGAAAAAAGATGTCGAAAAACAAATCGGAGCACTAAGAATGTATAACTTGCGTATTTCATAAAGTTACAAATAGGATTTTAACTTCGTGGATAAAAAAAAACACAAAATTGACATGTAAAAACAATGTAATAAACAGACAGTAAAAATCTTTTGAAGGAGATTCTGTGAGACAATAGTTATGCAATCGAATAAACTTTTAAAAATAAAAGTCAACTAAAAACAAATTCATGCCACTTTTAAAAAAAATAAAAAAAGAGGTAAAAATATAAAAAAAAATTTGCATTTAAATGGCTTTGGTAATTTTAAAATTCATTCATACATGACTTATGAGAGAACATGCATTTTTAAAATCATGATTAGCAATGAGGAGTCGTACCTTTATATTATCTTTTACACAAATTCACAACCACATCAACATACACACACATTCATCAGAAACATACACATCACACACATGAAATAGGAGCTGCCTTCCTTATTGCACCTGAAAGGTATGGGAAAGGAACAAGAATTGTCAATAAATAATTTCCCACACATAGCCACGGCCACGAAGCTGATCATAACCTGGTGCTGATGAAAGAACTGTGGTAAATATAGGACAGTAATCTCTACACAATCAGAGGCAGACTGGCTGGAGGTGGGAACTTCTGGAAATTTGAGATTTCTTCATATCTGAAAAAAAAAAAAAAAAAAATTTAAATGAAACTTTCAAAAATCTCAAACATGTTCATCGGAAAACAAACCCATTCCTAGTTGTCCACAATTCAAAAATAAGAGGAAAGTGTTGTTTTGAGGGTTTCTGGACCCCATTAATGTTTTATGAGGATATCTGCAAAATCTCTGCTCAAACATATCCGTTGTAACTACTAACTTGTTTTATATGCACAATAGAATTTATTAACTTGTACAACGTTATTTCATTGACAAATTGTAAATTGCAATTTTGTGTTTTATAGTATGTAAAATAAGTTGAAAACAATATTTTTCAGGATTGTTGACTAATAAAAATTTTGACAATCATAAGGAAACCCATTAAACACATTTTTTTGCCTAATAAATATTTTAGTGTATAAAAAGTCGACTAGTTTGTCATAGTTGTCCTCACATTTGTGCATTTAATTAATATATTAAGAAAATCCAATATTAAGACTGAAAAGATATGCTTCTCTATTGACATTGTTTCATCTTTGATACAAGGGTTGGTTACTTTTCCGGTCCTCAAATCATTAAACCAAGAATGCATCCCCACATTTATAGACGAACATACTAGAAATTTTTTACTTTAACAATTTTACTTTCATGTTTGAAATGATCTTTGTGAAGTAAAAACTATGAATTTGCTATTGATTTATGTCCAGAAATTGATATGCCAAGTAAGACTATGAAGGGATTTCGACATTCTTGATAGCCAGTAATTACTAAGCATTCTTGATGCCAAAGATAGAATAAGGTGTATATAAGAAGCATGTAAGGTTTTTGCAAACAATTGTTCCATCACTTACTTTGTACTTCTGTATTTTTCAACTACTGACTGCTGTGGACTCTTGTCAGCATTTAGGTAGAGTTTATGAAGGTCTTTCAAACAGTCAACAAAATGTCCTACTTCATAACCACTGGATTTGATCAGGGATTGAGGCTGAAAAGTATTATAGCATATTTAATATCAAACAGTTTCAGGGAAACCTTTATTTTAGCAGTCTGCTAAATTTTTCAATTGAAAGTTTATGACAAGGAACAAACAATTGTTTGTACCGTCGTTCATTTTTTGGGATTCCAAGTATATACAATTTAATTTGATAAAAATGTTCGTAACACTTTCTAAATTCTATGTTTGTTTTTGTTGGTACAGTATATTTCTTTTTTTCTAAGTACTTGAATATGCTGGAAAACACTTACCTAAACTAATATAGAAATGAGAAATATCAACCTCAAAATTACTGTTGCAATACGAGTTGCAGTATAAAATCAACTATATATTGGAAGTTTTTTTCTTTGAATCTTCCAAATATTTTTCATCAGATTATTCCAAATATGCAATGCTTTTTTGATATCAACTGTTCTTAAATCAAAAACCCTTTCTTCTAAATGATGAAAAGGTTGTTATATTGAATGGTCAGTTACCTTCATTATTTTTCAGTAATCTTACCCAGGGTTCTTGTTCAAGAGAAAATCTTGCTAAACATATACAGGCAGCTGCTATTTGACTAGGAAGGTATTTCAAGAAAGTATCAGCTTCTATCAATGTATTTTCTGCTAAGAACTGAAAAATAAACCTTCCTATTACAATGACATATATACCTGCAATCAAACAGGTAGAAATCTAAAATATTCAATCATAAAATATACTTGTTTAGCATTAAGGATGTATTCTTCTGAGGTTTCAGTCTCGTTTGGGAATTATTTCCAAAACATGCGATACAAGTGGAAAATATCAATGAATATAAAAAATATAATCAAACTAAACTCGGAAAAAAAGCTGTACTTGCAATAAGTAGTTTTTGAGTAATAAAATTTGAAATTTTATAACCAATCTGGTAAGTGCCATCAGCCAAAATGTTGAGGAAATAGGTGAGGGTACAAAGAAATGATTTTACCAAAGATATGTACATCCCATATCAATTTTTTCTTTTCAAAATTCTTAGATATGTATTTTTTCAATCATTTATAACAAAGAAGTTGAAATATTATAAATATGCTTTTTGTTCTAAAAAAATTCGTAAGGGTTCCGCGGAACCCAGTGTCTCGCCTACATTTTCGGTTAATCGCAGGCTCAATAAAAATGAGGAAGTAAATCAATAAAAATATTCCTCTTGATACTATCTTTTGATTGTAAGAAGCTTCTGTCCAAGTTTGGTAAAAATCCAGGATAGTTTATGAATCTAATAAATGTTTAAAAACTTGATGAATCTAATAAATGTTTAAAAACTTGATGAATCTAATAAATGTTTAAAAACTTTAACCACAGAGTGAATATGTTGTTTCCTGGCAGAAAATCTAAGTCCATTTAAAAGTAAAATACGGAAAAAATGGATTTATTTTTTTACAAAATTTCCTTCTAGATACTAGCTTTTGATCATAAACAAGCTTCTGTCCATGTTTGGTATAAATCCAAAATAGTATAAGAAAGTAATAAAATTTTAAAAACTTTAAACCAGAGTGAATGTGTTGTTTCTTGGCAGAAAATCTAAGTCCATTTAAAAGTAAAATAAGGTAGAAATGGATTTATTTTTTTACAAAATTTACTTCTAGATACTATCTTATTATCATAAACAAGCTTCTGTACAAGTTTGGTAGAAATCCAGGATAGTTTAAGAAAGTTATTAAAATTTCAAAAATTTAAACCACAGAGTGAATATTTGTGGATGCCGCCGACGGAATGTAGGATCGCTATGTCTCGCTTTTTCAACTTAAGTCGAAGGCTAGACAAAAAAAGAGAAAAAATTCTAAAATTTACAAAATTGACAGCATGGTCAATTTGAATCGAAAAAGCAACAAAGTTTTATAATATTAACACCAACCTATAGTTTTTTTTTAGTTAAAATTTATAGAAATTTTTGACTCTTGAAAGGGTACATTCAAACTTACTCTGGATACATGTCAAAGTCAACTCGATAAACCTTACACTTATGCTATTCACGAGTAATAGTAACATGTACTGGACAAGTAATTTTTATGGCAAAAATGCATTTAAAAAAAAAAATCTTTTGTAAAATTATTTCTCTAATTCTTCGTCAATTTATCCCTTTCTGCACCCATTGTATGAAAAAAATTTAATCAACATGTGGTTCGTTTGATCTCAGTTCTTTATTGGTTAAAATCAGATTACGACGTCGAATTTTCTTGCTTTCCTCTGAATTTCCTATTGTGACGGCATGAAAAAAGGCGACCATGCCTGATGACGTCATAGAAAGAACACATCTTTTTTGCAGATCATTCAAAAAGAAGGAATAAATTTGCCTACGTATTGTTTGAAAATCAGAGAAACAGATTCCACAACCAAATCGGCGAGCCTCGCGTTTTAAATTTGAAAATTTAACTGTTGAGAGTGGATAAATATCGTATCACACTCAATGCAGTGGTAGAATCTATATTTATATACATTATCAGTTTTGTATATTTTTCCTTTGATCTCTTTTTTCGTGATAATTTTTCATATCATGCTTCTCACTTGATAGAAAATTATCGCTAGAAACAAAGAGTGCAGGTGCAGTTGTCAATGTAAAAATCAATGAAATCACTGGCAAAAAAGCGATCAACAGATTATCAATGGTCTTTCAAACTCATAGATGTTTCTCTACCACATCTCATCTCAAGAGCTGTCTTAGATGAGATTGTAGCTGAGAAACACCCTCACGATTGAAAAACCATTTATAATCTATGAATAACATCAGATTTTTTTTTTTAAATAGTTCGTCTGCTGACAATATTCCAGTCCTTTCCGTTATTTAAATACTGTTTACCATAGACAAGGCTTTGACTTTACTGTCGGCATCAGAGTCTGTCAGGAAGTGATCACAGAACCAATTTGTTGTTGGCACAGCTACATCAAATGTCAGAACCTTCAGAACAAGGTGTTCCATTCTCAATACCTAAGTAAAGCAGAAAAAAGTGTATATTAAAGAATGAATGGTATATCTAAGGTTATTTGGAAAATAGTAATGTGTTTACAATGCTAACACAAAAAACTACCGAATCCACTGCATCACTGACCTCACTAAGATGTAGTTCCACATTGTCTAAAAAACAATTCTGTATTTACTGGAAAGAACACAATTTTGCCATCAGTAATAAATTAAACTTTGCAAAAATAGTATGGAAAATTCAGCAAGAGTTCTACAGATTTGAAACATCCATTGCATATTTTGTCAATTACTGGCAGCAGTTTATGGCAAAGAACTACCCTGAAACTTGTGTTTCCATACCTGTTGCTTTGTGTAGGTGTCATCTGTGATATAGGCAAATTCTCCAACATCTGGTGGATAGATTTCCTCGTATTTTCTGGAGAAAAAAATAATTCATAAAGCTGTTGAAATGATCAATGACACTCAGACTCGTCTCCTATTTTTCTATAGCTATGTGTCCAACTTGCTAAGCAGCCATAAATAAATGAAAATTAGCTGGTCTGTAAACTATGGTTAAGCTTTATAAATATAACGTTTCATGTGGCCCAACAGGATAACTATTTCCACCATTGTATAATACATGTGTTGAATAAATAAAATAGTTTGTTCAAAATTTTTTGTTTTTACTAAAAATTCATTGTTTATTATAATTTATTAGTCTGGACTTGCACAACGCAGGCCGATGAAAAAAGCTTTGCAGCCAAGTTGAGAGTAGTAAATGTATCCCAATAGTTTGGTTTAGGCAATAACAAAATGCATGCATGTTGATTTTCTGTTGCTAAGAAAATACATACCATGTACATGCATGTGCAAGAAAAGTTTTAAATTGGTATTTTTTCAAATTACTTTGCATGGAATTATTTCAGTATAAATATCTTACGATGCAAGAAACATGCTGGCAGCTCCAACAAGCTGAAGTTTTCCTCTCTGTACAGACATGTAGGATAGAAATCTATCAATGTAGTTCACAGCTAAGAATAATGTTTCTCTGTGCAGTTTGTATTCCTCAGATACTTCAACTAACCAATCTACCAGAATGCTCCTCATTGATGCTGTTATATCCGATTGTTTTTTCATGTAATTATGTTTTGGTCTATTTTTTGCCTAAAAATGAAAAATGTTTCTTAAATACAGGTCAAAAATTCATGTCAAACATTAAGCATATATATTCTATCATATGTCATGGCGAATGAGCTGGTTCATATCAATCATCTTTCCCCTCCATGTATTCAAATTATTTCTCAGTAATACAAGGTCTATAATACTATCTGGTATCATGGTAAAATGTTCACTTTGGCAGTGGAAGTCAAACCAAGAACTTTTAAAATTGATATTTGAAGTCCCTCCAATTAGGCCATTATCATATCACATTACATTAATTAAAGAACCTTAGTGAGCGCGTTCACATACCCCACGTCCCCACATTGTCACTGGAGAAATAAAATAACTAAGAAAAAAAAAAAGTATAAGAAAAAAAAATTGAATCATAATTTCCTGTCGATATGCACATCTACCTAGTATGTCCTTATTATCTACAAAGTTTCATGAAATTCTGTTGTGTGGGTTCAGAGGAGTTGCGATGACAAACTGTTGCAGAGGTATATTGAAGCAAATAAGTTCAAAGGGGCGTAACTCCTAGAAAAAAAATTGAATCCTAATTTCCTGTCGATATGCACATCTACGTAGTATGTCCTTATTATCTGAAAAGGTTTCATGAAATTCTATTGTGTGGTTTGAGAGGAGTTGCGATGACAAAAGGTTGCAGTAGTATATTGGGCAAATAAGTTCAAAGGGGTGTAACTCCTGGAAAAAAAATTGAATCGTAATTTCCTGTCGATATGCACATCTACGTAGTATGTCCTTATTATCTACAGTTTTATGAAATTTTGTGTGGTTTCAGAGGAGTTGAGATGACAAACTGTTGCAGTAGTACATTAAAGTAAATAAGTTCAAAGGGGCGTAACTCCTAGAAAAAAAATTGAATCGTAATTTCCTGTCGATATGCACAACTACATAGTATGTCCTTATTATCTAAAAAGGTTTCGTTAAATTCTGTTGTGTGGTTTGAGAGGAGTTGCGATGACAAGAAACAGGACTGATGGACGGACACAGACAGACGGATGGGTCAAAAACATTATACCCTCCGCAACTCGTTGCGTGGGGTATAATAAGGAATATGATGAAAAACAAAATATGCACACAATAGTGAAATTCAATAGTAACATTGCAAACTTTCTTAATATCAGGTCTTTGATTTTTATTTGTATTGACGAAAAATTTCCTTTGAAAAATGGTTAGATTTGGCAACAAAAACTCTCAAAGTTTGTGTTCTAGTGCAAAATGTTTGATAAATCCATTAACGACATTACAACTATATAGTCTTATAAGCAAATTGTATGATTAGACCATCTTAACCCTACCTCAGCTTCTCTCAAATGTGCATAAATTTCTTCTACATATTCAGGTACCATGGTAATAATTGATTCTCTGTCTAAAGGCTTTTTGTCTTCCATTTCCTCGTGTGTGGTATCCAACACCATTGGAGATTCTTCTGTTTTAAAAGAGGTACAGTACAATTATTAAATTTTAAAAAAAAAATTGTAAGACCAGGGAAAAATGATTTGGTTTCCCCTAACACGACCATGTCGTTTTTCTCCCTCTACTGAAACTTAAAAAAAAAAAAAAAAAAAAGATGGTGTCTTGTTCCGATCCAGCAATGTTAATTAAATATTTTTTCAGTTTTATTAAGAAGCATAACAATGTCAAGGTAATTTTTTCCCGCCTTGGTTTCTAGATCACCGAAGTGCTTAACTGATCAGAAAGATAACTGATTTGAAGCGTTGCGCTCCCCCAAAATGGCCACCTATGCACCAACCATGTTATTAATTATATGAAGTCACTCAAGTTTAATACCAGTTGTCAAGTAAATAGATAATTGTTCTACACAGTTTTTACATTTAGCAACACTATTGATACACAGAAAAAAAAAAAAAATCCTGCCTGCTGGGCCTTGAAAATTTTCCCATGTTAGGGGAAACCAACAATCATTTTTCCCTGGCCTTACTTGTAAGATTATATGTGAATGATGTGTTCACCAAAAAATTTACTCTGATCATACATCATACATCCACAAGTGTGTTTTGGGTGCACTGAATACATGAATTAAATTTCTATCGCAAGAGAAATTAAAGAACCTTAGTGAATGCACTCACATACCCCACGTCCCCACATTGTCATTGGAGAAATAAAATCGTCCCCACATTGTCATTGGAGAAATAAAATAAGTGCAAGAAAAAAAAAATTGTATCAGAAAAAAAAATTGAATCATAATTTCCTGTCAATAAGCACATCTACATATTATGTCTTTATTATCTACACAGTTTCATGAAATTCTGTTGTGTGGTTTGAGAGGAGTTGCGATGACAAAAGGTTGCAGTAGTATATTGGGCAAATAAGTTTAAAGGGGCGTAACTCCTGGAAAAAAAATTGAATCGAAATTTCCTGTCGATATGCACATCTACGTAGTATGTCCTTATTATCTGAAAAGGTTTCATGAAATTGTTGTGTGGTTTGAGAGGAGTTGCGATGACAAAAGATTGCAGTAGTATATTGGGCAAATAAGTTCAAAGGGGCGTAACTCCTGGAAAAAAAATTGAATCGTAATTTCCTGTCGATATGCACATCTACGTAGTATGTCCTTATTATCTGAAAAGGTTTCATGAAATTCTGTTGTGTGGTTTGAGAGAAGTTGTGATGACAAGAAATAGGACTGACGGACGGACAGGTCAAAAACATTATACCCTCCGCAACTCGTTGCATGGGGTATAATAAATGATATTTTGTAAGGCTAGTGAGATGAGCAGTTTTAAGCTCATGTCAATATTGAAGAGTTCTGGAAAGAAAATCTATTACAAATTCCCAACCTTCATAATATTATAATAAAGAAAAACAGGTACCTATAGAATCGTCAACACAGATGATATCATTGACGGCAGAAATTGGTTGATGTCGGACTGGCAGTGCAGTAATAGATTGAGACAGCTTCAACTTGCCACCATTGTTGGATGGTTTAGACAAAGGTTTACTTGCTGCAACATTATCATCAACAAAGATGGTAAATGGTTGGTTCTCCTGTCCAAATACCTTGGCTTGTTTTGGATATGCATTTTCATCATTCCCACCAACCTGAAAATATAATGATTATCCTATAAACAAAAGTTGCAGTTGTTTAGTCTTAAAAACATCCTTTAATTTTAAAACTTCCTCTAGTTATAAAAATCCACCTTCTACATAATACACTACAAGGTTCGTATGTCTCTCCCTTTTGTATCGGGCTTAAAATATTTCAGTAGTCTTGAGCAAATAAAATCCAGTAGTCATACTAAGGTGCTTTTATTGGCACCAAATTACTTATGACCTTGCGTTATTGGAAGCTGCATTGACAATTGCAACAATGTCATTGTTGTATAATATCTAAGCTAAAATCATTAATATACAATGTACATATGATTTTTGAAACAATTTTTCCTGCTGTTGCAAACAAGGCTTCCATATTTTCTCACTCTGAATGGATTTACAATGTATATCAATAACTTTATATCTATGTAAAGGGTGCCCTTAGTGTAGTCCTCCATGCAAAGGTGCCCTTAGAGTGTAGCCCACCATGCAAAGGGTGCCCTCAAAGTGTAGCCAATCGTGCTATGAGTGCCCTCGAAGATAAAAATTACCCTGCCCTTTTCTAAAGCGGCAAGAAACAATAAGTGAAATCCACTAATTTAGTTACTTAAACATTGGTCAGACAATTGCAGCACACCATAAATTTGTGCCTATGGGGGGCAAACTTTTGATATTTTGTGGGGCCAGGCCTTTTATTTTAGGAGTCCCTATACTTTAGGGTAAGGTTCATTTGTGGTAACAGTTAGTCAGAGCTCCAGATAAGAATTCACATATTGGGGTTTTTACCCACCATTTTTTATGTAATTGAGTGAAATAGTTTTTTCAATTGCATTTTTCACCAACAAGCTTCTTAATGTATTGAGTTTTTTTCAACATCAAGATATTGAATTTAGGCATGTTATAATGAAATTATATCGAACCGAAAAGTTATATTTCTTTCATTATATGTGTGATAGCTATTTCATTTGGTGTATACGCTGATGACCAAATTTTGTTTAATTTTTGTCCGGTTTGTTTCAACTGTTCTGCCAGTTTTGTATTTTCTCTCAACTTACATAAACTGGTGCCACTAGTAGTTTTAGATTTTTATGTAGTACTTGTGCACATTGGATCATGTAAGACAGTTTTGCTAGTCCTATCAACTGTTCAAACCCTACTATAATACCCTCTCATTACAATCGAGGTTAATTAGTTCTCTGACAGCTGATTTTACCTGTTCAGGCGACAGGTAAACTACTTTGTACCGGACATTGATCGGTCTATTAATAGTTATTTTCTTAAATTTCAGCGGTTTGCATCTAATTAATTTAGTCAACAAGATTCAGATTACCAGAAAACGTATATTATATCATTTGATGAAAATTTAAAGATAGTAATAAAGGTTTCAAGTGAAAAATCATCAGATCCATGATGTTTGAACTAGTACACTTGTGAGCAGGTGTGAGATTAACTTATGCATCTGAATTTTCAAAAATGCTAAAAATATCATTGACACCTGTATCTAACCTTCATTTCGAGTCTTTTCCTGTAGAAATAACGCGGAAAGAGCTATTTGAACTCAATCGTGCTTTGTAAACGTACACGGATTTTACGTATCCGTCTCTGGTCCGTGTTTTAACATTGTCAAGTCAACATCCGGTAATAGAAAAGTACTTTTCAAAAACGCGCAAGTGAAGTTATTGACGGCATAATTTTGCACATTTCAAGAGCCTTAGGCAGATATTAGTACGCTTGATTTGCACACTTCGAAAGGTGCACTGTCAATTTAACAGTTAACGCCAGAACATCGAATTTATATGATGTCCAACTGATTACTATGGTTGCCTTTTATTTCTTAAGTCTTAAGGGATTAAAATCGGGAAAAGACAACAAAAAAATGTCCGGCTGGTTCAAATATTTTTTGAAAGCCCTGATCTGGTCATTATTTGTTCCGTTTTTAGAAATTTTGGTTTCTATTGCTTTTCAACTATCATGACTATATAACTGATTTGGCCTTTGACTGTTTTAACTGATTTAATTCTTGCACCACTGATTAGTCATATGGACACGAAACCCGTGTTTGTCATAATAAAAATCTTCTTGTTAAGGAGCGTATACTCGCCCTTGATGCATGGTTTTCTGTCTGGACGCACCATTGCATGAACCCGTGTGTCCGAGGAACGTTTCCTGATAACACTAACTGAGTCTTGTCATCATAATTATCCCTCAGCTATCAAAAAGAAGCTGAAAACATGTTTCTATTCAATATTTTTACCCAAATTTACTTTCGTTTTAATTCATTCATTGTCATAAACCCCGAGCAATACGAAAATAATTATGATCACATGACTTACACTATTTGGATAAACACAGAAGAACGAAATCGGTTTACATCAGCACGTTCAGAACAACGGACATTTCCAACAGAGACCCAGATTTGATGTAACTATCTATTTTTAGACGAAAGGAGATTTCCAATTATATTACAAAAATAGATTTACGCGAAATAACGCACACGAAAACAACTAAAAGGGTTGAAAACGCACGGTTTTGACATTTAATTGGGTTTACCTTTGCATGAATTGGGTTTTTGAACGCTGCAATCATCAATTGCATTGGGTTTTCAATTGTTTGTATTGCGTGATCACACAACTACGCAGCTTATCTGGTGCTCTGGTTAGTGTAAGACTAAGGTTATGGATTAGGGTAAGGATAGTTTATTATAGCTCTATACAAGTTCATTTTTTGCTAGTACAGATTATTTATTTAGCGCAACCTAGTCATTTCCATTCTTGAACGCTGCTATTTCCTGCCTTGTCTTGCATTTTGTTGGGACATTTTTATTTTGATCCTGACAGACATTGACAAAGTTATTGTATTTTCAGTAGGCCAGAATCTGAATATTCATTTCTTAAATCATCCTCTAGGCATAATTTCCCATTTTATTCGGGGGAAATATTGGTGCATGGTACGTTGGCGATAGCGGCTTCCTAACATGTAGTATAGTACTAGTACCTACCTTCCCCCTTTTTTTTATGAAAATTATACCACAGAAGTTGATATACGTAATTAATACGACTTCTTCTGACAAATAATGCCAAGGTTGGTCAGATAAACTTATCGTTAAAAATTCTAGTACAATAAAACAAAAAATGCAGAGAAAAAATATCAGCGTCGTTCAAAAATGTAAATGACGCAAAGACCCCAACACCTCGTCGAAAATGAACATTATATACCTTAGATGGTTTAGCTGCCCTTCGTGGTTGCACTCGAACTTGATTTGTGATGACTCCGAGGGCTGCCCTCTTGGGTGCGTTGTTCCTTGTAGTAACTCCTTGTTCAACTCTTTTTCCACGTCTCCCTTGGTTCTCAACATTTTCGTCCTGGATCGTAGAGCCAAAAACAAAAGACATTGTGAAACGAAAGAGTTCTATGGAAAAATAATGTTATTTTCACTTGTAGTGACCTTCTGTGTGACGTTCTTGGATGTAATGTTATCAGTTTATTCAGTACTTCTGTGTTCCTCAGATATTTTTTTTTAAAGTAATCTCAGCTGAGATGCTAATCAAACTGAGGCCAGACATTGAATTCCCCGCGATGATACCCGTAATCCAATCAAATTCAAGCTTTTGCGACCACATGATAAACAAGCCAATATCGAGGCGTTACATTCTTTCTTTTGACTTTTGGTATCTTGCTAACTTAAAATCCGAAAATATCGAAAAATACTATTAGCGCCAAATTTAAACTTGTTTTGTTTTTTTTTCGTCGCCAAGTCGTTTTATTTTCATGACGGACAATTGTTCTTATGTCATTGAATAACTAAGAAACACATGTATAAATGCATTCAGTATGTCTTTTTCCAATTCGTTTGCAATTAGTTTATTTTTTCCGATACGAATTTCCGCGGCGGAACTCGTGAGATATGAATCCATATATATATTTTTTTTTTCTCTATTGATATATAGTTTGTTCTTGATCGATGGAAATAATTTAATGCTTTGAGCATGCATTCAATAATAGGCTAACATAACTTTTTTTCGATTATCTCTACTCCCGGCCGGCTGTAAAACGGCGCTTCTCCAATCAATTATATTTTGTAATGTGGTTGCAGTCATTTGAAATGTTAAAATAAATAGACAAATTCTAAATTTGTTTTTGACTTCTTTTATAGTCCTAGTTAGTTGAGGTCGTATGGACTGCAGGGGATATGATTTTCAAAATTTCCAAAAAATCTTCAACAGATTGAAAATACTGAGCATTGTCCTTTTACGTGGAATTTGGGCTATTACGGCACACGAATTGTCAATTTTATATGAGTACTAGTGAACAGTAAGCCATATATAAGCTGGAGAACCTTTTTATTTTCAATTTCATTTTTTAAATTGTTAACAAAAATCTTTCAAATACATTATCTAGACACTTTTCACCAAGATGTCGTTAATTGAAATTGGATACCCTGCATTTATTATGGTTTTTACTCTGCATTTATTATGTTTTTCAATAACATATCATGGTCAAATCGCTGAAAAAGCTCCCTCCTTAATTATTGAAAGCTATCATTCTGCATTGACAATGATATCGTGGTGTAAATTAGATTCATCCATTCGGGCGAATTTATGAGTTTTTACCCCATGAATGAAACAAACTCAGGGAAATTTGATCATACTGCCCTAAAACCAGAAAACATGGAATATAAGAATTATGATATAAGAAAACACCTCACTCAATTGAAAATAAGTGTTCATAAATTGACATTTGAGTAGGGACGTTAAAACATTGATAAAGATAAAAAAAATTGTAAATTTTGCTTTTTAATTCAATTGAAGACGAAAATCAATTTCTTATGGAATATCGAGCTTTCGATCATCAACGACACATTATTTTAGATGCGCTGTAAAAATATGTATTAATATGAAAATCTATATACAGAAAACAGATTCATTTGGCTTCTTTCGTGTAAACATGAAGAAATAAACACCAAAGAGCAAACTAATATTATCTTCTAACTGTATGTCGTATATTTCCAATACGGAGATTCTAGAGATCATGTTTTCATTTATATATTTTATATTCAGAGAGGGACAGTCATTGCTTACATGTAATTTTCTTTTCCTTTCTCTTTTGTTGTCTAGACATCAGTGGCGGACCCAGAAATTTTAATAAGAGGGGGCCCGCGCCAGTCATGCTTCAGTGATTCCCTATATAATCAACCAAATTTTTCCCACAAAAGGGGGGTACCCCTGCCCCCCCCTAAATCCGCCTCTGGACATTAACTTTAAGTTGCATGTTTGATCTAAATATCTATTTCAATAAATCATCACACAATAATATAATGCATTTATACATTCACTATATAGGACTCATAAATAAACCATTGCCAACTGATTTTGACAGTTTGTCATGCATGCTGTTACACCACTCTCCGAGCTTAAGGGAAATTTGAGCACTCTCTAACATGTTTAACATTGGCGAATGCAGGGGTGGTGTTCCGGGGGGGGGGGGGGGGGTGGAACCCCCTCTTTTTACGATTTTTTTTCCTTTTTTTCTTTTTTTTTAGTTATGTGAATGTTTCATGGTGTTCCGGGGGTTGGAACCCCCTTTCAATGATGACCAGATCCGCGCCTGTTTAACCCCGCCACATTATGTATGTGTCTGTCCAAAGTCAGGGAACTGTAATCCATCGGTTGTCGTCAATTGATGTGTCATATTTGTATTTTTTTTTTATTGTTTTGTAATAAATTAGACCGTTGGTTTTTTCGTTTGAATTGTTTTGCCTTTTTCATGTCGGGGCTTTTAATAGCGGGGACCTTAAATTAAATGCTTACATTGATCCGCCTCATTTGGACTCTGTTGGATAGTTAGCTCATTGGCAATCTTTTCACATTTACTTGCATGTATACAAGTGTCCCAAGTTAAGATTAAGATTGTGCAATGAAAGTTGTCTAATCATACCACATCTTCTTATTTTTACAGAGTTGTTTTTATAAATCCGTTCCGTCTACTAGAATACAAATGATCTTCTAGCATATCCAACACTACGTTAAATGTGGTATATTCTGCAATAACTATGTATCTATAAAATATGAAAAATATGAAATAAAAATACTGAAAAAATGGAAATATGGTGTAATGTGTACAGCGTAAACTGATGCTTGGAATGATAGAGCCACGCTTAGAGCATTTACACCAATGATTAAAGTTGCATGTTTAGTCATTTGCAAAGTGGAAGACTATTTCAACATATATATATATATGGAATAATTGAGACCACTTAGACACGTAATCTTATTTTCAGGGTTTCTAGCTCTACTCTTCTATGCTAAGATATGTTACAACGGATTATTTTCAAATCTATTAATTAAATAGAGGCATTCATGAAGTTGGCTCTTAAAGATCTGACATTTTGATCGAAATTACAGTTCAAAATGATCACGTTGCATTTGATTATAGTCACTTATAATTACTACTCTTATCAAGGTGTGATCTATACTTTTATCTTTTGGTAATTTTAACAATTAACTAATAAAATTTGTCTATTAACAGATATTGTGATTATAACATTAATTCTATATAATAATTAAGTAGCTTTCGGGTGATTATACATTATCTTAGCAGCTTTCTGCCTTCAAGAGTGTAAAGTGCCAAATAACAATAATCCGTAAAAATGTAATTGAATCTCAAAAAAGGGGCGGCGGCCTTTCTTAAAATGGCGCATTTTTATGGACAGGGCTTATGGAGACAAAACAAAAACAGTATCTTTTCTGCTTTTAAAATTAAAACAATTAATGTAAAGTGTTCGGTTACAACATCCTCTTTTCTGAAAAATCCACCAATGTTTCGATTACTGGCTAGATGATGTAACCAACGTATGCATTATTTATAAAATATGTATGCCTGAAAGATTGCAAGGAGCAAAATTACAATCACCAACACATTTATATACCGGTTCAACTAGCAAAAGTAATGAAAAACAATTCCATAATTTTTTCCTCACTTTTTGTAAAATTATATTCTGCTGGTTAACGTAACTCCGTGCCATGCATGCCTTTCGATTGAATTTATAATAACCGATATATTTATTGAAAGCCCCATGTTGGGTTCCAAAATATGCATTTAATGTTTTTATGTTGGTCTTCTACTGTTCAGCAGACACAATCAAATATCCCTCTAATCCTAGTGAGAGATCCCCAACAAGAATGGAAGAAATATCATTATATCATGTTATAAACGTTTTACTTGAACTCGTTATAACTTATTTAAAAAAAAAACCCGTACAAGTCGTCACAAATTGAAGTATGAACTTGATATCAAGGATATCACAGATACAGTTAAGTCTGTTTCATACGTTTATACTTGCATATAAAATTGAATATGAAGATCGGTTGAGAACTAAAGTAAACTTTACTACATTTTTCAGAGCTTTTTAGGTCATGACCCGGATAGGTCAGGTGAGCTTTTATCATCACTTGACGTCCATTAACCTTATCTTGAAAACGATAATAGATAGAAAGAAATAACCAATAATTGCAAACACGATCAGCAAGGCAAGATCTATAAATAAAACAACATGGTTGAAATGGTCAAACAACTCCCTATGTGAGTTATTGCCCTTAAATGACGATTTTAACCATTTTGTCTTTTATCTTGAGAACTATTATATACAGAAATAAACTTGAAATTGCAAAAAACGGTCAGCACGAAATCGTCAGTAAACTTTTTATACGATATAAACGATTGATAACCAGTTTGTATAATAGACAAAAAGAAACTTTAAAGCACAAAAATTCTCAGCGAGACCAGATCTACAAATAGGTAGAAAAAAAACGAAATTGTCAGTTAACTTCTTACAGGAGTTGTTGATCTTAAATGACAATTTTTACGCTTTTTTTAGTTTTGGATTAAATCTATAGAAGTTAGAGAGAAAACTTTAGAAGGAAGAATGAACAGCAAGACGAATTAACAAATAGGTCAACAAATCCAAAATTGTCAGTCCACTTCTTATAGGAGTTATTGCCCTTGAATGATGATTTGTAACCATTTTTGTGTTTTTGACAAAAAGCTAAACTTGCAGTGTCAGGTAAATTTAAGTGAAAGTTTTTATGCTCCATGTTGAAGGCCTGTGACTTTGAGATGAAGAACAGCAATAAAAGCGCTGTTCCTCTGCTTTTGTGTTGTTTGCTTTGCATGTACTGATTTTGTGTCATGGATGGACACTCCATATCCTTTGTTTTTCTATTATAGCATATAGAGCGAAACTGCACATAAAATGATCACCAATACAAGATCAACACAAAAGAGAATTTAGTCATGCATTATATTATACTAGTAGTCTACAATGTTTGAGAGTGGTCATTGTTGAAGATGCACATATATACACAGGTTCTTAAGAGACTCTAGTTTCATTTTGTTTTTGCTTATAGTATCTTAGAAATGGACCATACCACGAAAACTTAAAATTAATCAATAAACCGTGATTGATGATTGATTGTTGGTTGCTTAATTTCCAGTGGCAAATATTCCATGCATGTTCAGGACGAAATAAACCGTGAAAATGAGGTCAAGGTCTGATGAACTCTGGTAGACAGACATTAACACCTTACAATCATTCTATAGTTGATTTAACAACATTAATGGCAGAGGCGGATTTAGGGGGGGGGGGGGGGGGACAGGCCCACCTTATAAGAGCTACATATATGGTTAATGCCTAGACTTTTTACATGTTCCACCTCCAAAATCCAAATATTGCTTAGTTTGGGGGCCCCAGGCCTCCCTTTTTTAAAATCCTGGATCTGTATCTTTGGTACCAATGTTACTGCATCAAATATTAAAAAAAAAATTTATATTAAGTTCATAATAAAATGTTCTTAATTCTAATCCCTGCCTGTCTGAATAAAAAACATCAAATATGCATCCCAATCTTTTTATTACACATCTTGTCATTGAAAAAAAATCCTTTCGTTAATTTGGTAAAGTCATTTCAACACAATATTTTTATTCTGGCAACATCTTGTTTTTTTTTTTTTTGGGGGGGGGGGGGGGAGGGGGGAAAGAAATAACACAGCTCAACAGTTTTTTGAAGCCTTGAGCCCAGATCCCTACCTCTGAAGCTCGAAAACCTATCAGGGGGCCCAAAAAGTTGCTAAAAAACAACCCTATGTTGAGCCTAGAGTCCAATGATGAAATTAGATTGGTGCCACAAGTCCAGGGCCCATATTATCAACCTATCTTTTACTTCACCCAGAGTATCAACTTTTTACTACCTCTACTTCATTCAGCCTCAAAAACAATGGTATTGCAATGGATTTTTGCTTAAAATAACCTAAAATACTATTAAACACTAGCAACATTTATTCATTTTGCCTTTAACACTCGAATCATATGAATTTTGAACATTTAATGATGACTCCAACTTAAATCATGTGATCATATAATTGATGGTTTCAATAGGCTTCATTGTTTGTAACTTTAGGACAGCATGACTTTTCTACATGTTTGATGATGATGATGATGATGATGATGATGATGATGATGATGATGATGATGGATGGCTGCTTAACGTCCAGCGTCAAATTAATATGCATATTCAGGATGAGAACATGTTAATGTAATATGAATATCAACTGTGATTTGTACTAGACTGACATGCTGAGCCAGATTTTTAACGTGCTAGTTCACAAGGTAACAGTCCGCAGGAAGACACATCACCTTCCCTGGAAACATTATTCTGACTGCGAGCCAATCAGTCTTTGCTCTTACTCCTTAATGTCGCGTGCTTAGTGGCGAAGCAGCAAATACCAATTTTCAAGTCTTTGATTTGACGCGGCTGGGGTTCAAACCCACAACCTCCCGCACTCGAGGCGAACACGCTACCAAGAGACCACCGTTTGACCTTTTAGGAACAATATCAAGGATAACTAAGGCTCCAAGGAGCCTGAATTGGTCATGGATTACTTTGGTTGAAAAGAAATAAAACAACTAGCTGGTAGAGGGTCTCCCAATAATAAATATTATAAAGCTTCATAACATTTCGCCATGTACTACTTTCAGAGGAGATTTGTTTAAGTTGACTGATTATAATATTAGTTATAGAGATGAAGATGAAAATACAATTATCTAAAGATTTTCAATGTGAACTGTGTGTCACATATGCCTCCATGTTTGCAACCAATGCAACATTAAATGAGGATTATTCATAGAGGGTCTCCCAGTCATCAATCCTTTAAGTTTCAAAACATTTAATTTTATAGTTTCATTTTTGAAGTTGACTCCTGCAGCCATGTTTTTCATACATTTACAACAACATAAGGATTGTTTGAAGAAAACCTCCCATACATAACCCCTATCAAGTTTGGTTAAAACTGGCAAAGTTTTTAAGGGAAAGAAGATAAAAATGTGTTTTCCAAAAGGTTTGAATGGGAACCATGAGCAACCAATACAGCCATGTTTGCAAAATTTAACGAGGATCCTTTGTACACCATCTCCCAGTCATTTATCCTTGAAATATTTTGCCATTTCACTTTGCAGTATCACAGAAAGACAATTTTTGGTTTTGAATATTGGCCAATCAGGTTCATGTTTTTTCCTGCGACCACAACCACCATATGATTATCTGAATACAATCAGACCTGGATGGACACAAAACAATAACAATACTTAATAGAACTATATCAATAAATGCCACAATATTATTTTATATATAATAAGGCATTAGACATTATATATATGACAATGTATTAGAATCTGAATTATTTCCCAACATGGAGTTTCTTTATTGAACATGGCATCGGAATGATTGAACATTTTCTGTGCAGTGCTAATTATTGAAAATTGAATTTTCTAATCAAACCATATAACTTCGTCTTTCCTTTACTGCAGAGGATTTGGTCAGTTAACACACTGAATATTATTAATTTGACTGACAGGTAAAATAGGATTGCCCATATTTTAAATTAGTTTCAGTATAAATAATACCTTGTTATAATATTTTCTGGGATTCCCTTGTGACTATTTTAGGTTGGGTAACATATTATAAACTAGTTAATATATACAAAATTTGTTTTAATGACAGTTTATGTAACATCTTTTTGTTTTTTCTTTTTCTTGTCTTTTTTCTTCTTTTTAATGGCAGCTGATAGATCTGTCGACTCTGATGTTTTCTTTGGTATCACCACCCTGTAATATATCAGTATTCAAGTAAGTTTTATTAAAATGAATTAAAAAAAAAACATACAAGCACAAGGATTAAAACCTCCAGTACCACTTAACCAAATCTTTAGAAATTTGAACACAATTTCGTCGACCATAAAAATACAGGTAAACTTATATTTTGATGGACAAAGGGATGGACATGTGCATCACTATATACCCCCTCTTCTTCGAGACAGGGATATACAAATGTGAATTAGACTTGAATTTAAGACAAACTAAACCATAGTTTGTGTCAAATGTTTGTCTCAATCAACAATCCTGTTTCACTCAAAAAGTTGAGTTTTGAAAAATGGTTGCATCCATTAATGTCACAAATTTTAATGTAGTTGCTATGCTATAATTTTAATCCTTAAATTTTAACTTACCTGCTTAATACTTAGTACATTTAGCATATAAGAATATGTTGTTGGTATATGTTATGGTTTTAATATCAGCTATATGTTTTATATATTGGAACAAAAGTTATAAACAGTTTGTTTCCTTTTAATGCTCCCCGAAAAATTTTCTACAATATATTTATTGCTTTGTCCGTCAGGTTATATTGATAACTTAGAATAACTTTAGCACACCTGTCAGGTAACATTTATAACTTAGAATAACTTCAACACACCTGTCGGGTAACATTTACAACTTAGAACAACTTTAACCCACCTGTCGGGTAACATTTATAACTTAGAATAACTTTAACACACCTGTTGGATAACATTTCTAACTAAGAATAGCTTTAACACACCTGGCAGGTAACACTTCTAACTAATAATAACTTTAACACACCTGTCAGGTAATATTCATAACTTAGAATAACTTTAACACACCCATCAAGAATATTTATAACTTTGAATAACTTTAACACACCTTTCAGGTATAGTATTTAAATCATCAGCTTGTAACATAGTGGTTCCTTCTTCATCACTATCATCAAGTATAACAACATCTATAAAAAAATGAATTTACCATTGTAATTACAGCATTCTCTATCAATTCATTAATTTTATGCCATACAAGGATATCATATTGCATTTATGTATATATGCAAAGATAAATACAACAATGAAACAGTAACAGTCAGACCACATATGCATTGTGTAGCTTCAATGATTCAGGGCAACCACTACTGCAGATATTTCGTTTTCATAGGATAAAATTTCTTAATATTTATAGGTTATTTCATGAAATTTTTCATATCTGCCCTGGTATAATCATAAGAATCTGATATCAGATAAAATGCTGTAGCCTGAGGTCTGATAAGGGTCTTAGGATGGTACAAGGGCCAATATGGAATATGCAATGTACAGATAATGATCTATTTATCAACCTTTTGAAATTGGAAGCGATTCTATATTCATTGTATTTAAGAATTGAATGCTTCTTTTTGTTAATTCATTGGGGTGTAAAAGCGTTGACCGAAGTACATTTTGTATGAAGCGCTGAAGCGCTTCATTCTAACTAGAGCCTCTCAAGAGCCTGTGTCGCTCACCTGACTCTACTTTGGTTTTAGAAATCATGTAAAGATAGATAAAAATCATAACAGATACCCAAATAATGATTGAGGCCAAATTTGGTTTAATATTTGTCCCGTTATTTAATAAAATATCCTGGTGGCCATCTTGAACAGTAAATCGGCAACAAAGTAGCAACACTTGGTCAGCACCTCATAAGGACCATTCATGCCAAGTTTGGTTTCATTCCATTCAGTGGTACTCTAAAAGAAGACATTTGTATGTATTTCCCATAGGGTCCTATGTTAAACTAAGTCCCCCCCCCTGGCTGCCATCTTGGATGATGGACTGACTGCAAAGTAACAACACTTGGTCAGCACCTCATAAGGAACATTCATGCCATGTTTGGTTTCATTAAATTCAGTGTTTCTCTAAAAGAAGACATTTGTATGTATTTCCCATATGGTCCTATGTTAAACAAAGTCCCCCGCTAGTGGCCATCTTGGATGATGGATAGGCTGCAAAAACAACACTTGGTCAACACCTCATAAGGAACATTCATGCCATGTTTGGTTCCATTCCATTCAGTGGTTCTCTAAAAGAAGACATTTGTATGTATTTCCCTTAGGGTCCTATGTTAAACTAAGTCCCCCACTGGCGGCCATCTTGGATGATGGATTGACTGCAAAGTAACAACAGTTGGTCAGCACCTCATAAGTAACATTCATGCCATGTTTGGTTCCATTCCATTCAGTGGTTCTCTAAAGGAAGACATTTGTATGTATTTCCCATAGGGTCCTATGTTAAACTAAGTCCCCCGCTGGCGGCCATCTTGGATGATGGACCAACTGCAAAGTAACAACATTTGGTCAGCACCTCATAAGGAACATTTATGCCAAGTTTGGTTTCATTCCATTCAGTGGTACTCTAAAAGAAGACATTTGTATGTATTTCTCATAGGGTCCTATGTTAAACTAAGTCCCCCCCCCCTGGCGGCCATCTTGGATGATGGACTGACTACAAAGTAACAACACTTGGTCAGCACCTCATAAGGAACATTCATGCCATGTTTGGTTTCATTCAATTCAGTGGTTCTCTAAAAGAAGACATTTGTATGTATTGTCCATACGGTCCTATGTTAAACTAAGTCCCAGCTAGCGGCCATCTTGGATGATGGATCGGCTGCAAAGAAACAACACTTGGTCAACACTTCATAAGGAACATTCATGCCATGTTTGGTTCCATTCCATTCAGTGGTTCTCTAAAAGAAGACATTTGTATGTATTTCCCATAGGGTCCTATGTTAAACTGAGTCCCCCGCTAGCGGCCATCTTGGATGATGGACTGACAGCAAAGTAACAACACTTTGTCAGCACCTCATAAGGAACATTCGTGTCATGTTTTGTTTCATTCCATTCAGTGGTTCTCTAATAAAAGAAGACATTTGTATGTATTTCCCTTAGGGTCCTATGTTAAACTAAGTCCCCCGCTGGCGGCCATCTTGGATGATGGACTGACTGCAAAGTAACAATACTTGGTCAGCACCTCATAAGGAACATTCATGCCATGTTAGGTTTCATTCCATTCACTGGCTCTCTAAAAGAAGACATTTGTATGTATTTCCCATAGGGTCCTATGTTAAACTAAGTCCCCAGCTGGCGGCCATCTTGGATGATGGATCGGCTACAAAGTAACAACACTTGGTCAGCACCTCATAAGGAACATTCATGCCATGTTTGGTTTCATTCCATTCAGTGGTTCTCTAGAAGAAGTTAAAAATGTAAAAAGTTAACGACGACGACAGACAACGGACGCCAAGTGATGAGAAAAGCTCACTTGGCCCTTTGGGCCAGGTGAGCTAAAAATGTACGCACTGTAAACACTTTTACAACCCTATGAAATTACTAAAAGAAGCATTCAATACTTATAATTACATTTTTTGGTTATGATCATGAAACACAATTACTATCAAGTTTTTCTTTTATTTACCTGTGCACTTTATTGTGGAAATTTGTGTCATCATGTATGTTTCAATTCATGCAATTCATTGTGAAATGAAGAATGACCCGAGATTGCTGTTAGCCAATCAAAATAACGTATAATAATGAAACATACATCTAATGTAATTATTAACTTATAAAATCAAATTTTGATTACATGATGAAATGTACTGATTTTTATAGTTTTTTCTTATGTTGTACTGTTACACCACTATCCCAGGTTAGGGGAGGGTTGGCGCCTAGTCAATGTGTTGCTTATTGCTAGTTACAGTACATCATATTTTCATGTTTAAATACTGTTTAAATACTGTTATTGGTTCCACAAGAGGTTCAAGTATGACGCCAAGTGATGAGAAAAGCTCACTTGGCCCTTTGGGCCAGGTGAGCTAAAAATGTACGCACTGTAAACACTTTTACAACCCTATGAAATTACTAAAAGAAGCATTCAATACTTATAATTACATTTTTTGGTTATGATCATGAAACACAATTACTATCAAGTTTTTCTTTTATTTACCTGTGCACTTTATTGTGGAAATTTGTGTCATCATGTATGTTTCAATTCATGCAATTCATTGTGAAATGAAGAATGACGCGAGATTGCTGTTAGCCAATCAAAATAACGTATAATAATGAAACATACATCTAATGTAATTATTAACTTATAAAATCAAATTTTGATTACATGATGAAATGTACTGATTTTTATAGTTTTTTCTTATGTTGTACTGTTACACCACTATCCCAGGTTAGGGGAGGGTTGGCGCCTAGTCAATGTGTTGCTTATTGCTAGTTACAGTACATCATATTTTCATGTTTAAATACTGTTATTGGTTCCACAAGAGGTTCAAGTATGGCTGGTAGTAATATGAATAAATCTTCTGCATTATCCAAGTTCAATTACATTCTTCACAGACCTTGACGATCATTTTTACCTTCCAAGTTTACCTCTAACTGCTATAGTTTTTAGTTAATAGGCCTAGCCAAAAAAATTGTAAAAGTCATAAATTAGGGCAATAACCTAAATAATTCTTTAATTTTTTGCCATTTGACATATTTGTAGATCTGGTCTTGCTGAACAGTATTGACATTCATTTTCTCTATCTATAATAGCCCTCAAGGATAATAGCCCAAAAAAGGTAAACAATTGGTAAATATTGTCATTTAGAGGCAATTACTCCTATAAGCAATTTGGTAAAAATAACATTCTGAACATTTTTGAAAGATTTTGTCTATCTATAACAGTTTTCATAATATTAGACAATACTTGCATTTTATCCCTATTTTCAATCTGTAGCCATGCCCGACCATTTTGGTTCACCAGCAGTTTCATCAAACACAAATTTGTAACTAAATACTCTAAGAATGATAGTTGCCAAGTTTGGTTGCAATCGGCTTGATAGTTTCAGAGAAGATTTTTGTAAAAAAGTAGAGGAGGATGGACGTCTTGATGAGAATAGCTCATATTGACCCCTTGGACCAGGTGGGCTTAAAAGTGCATACCATACACAACTTTTTATAGAAATTGTTTAATCTGTACCTGCAGGTTTCTCCTTTTTGTCTTTCTTTGACAGTAAAATTGATTCTGTTTTTATTTCTTCCTCCATTTTATCATCCACTTCCCACTTGGATTCTCCTCCGTCTCCTATATAACCTACACCTTTAGCCTAAAACAATAATACAACCTACATTTATAGCCTAAAACAATAAGGTAAATCTCCTATACAACCTACACCTATAGCCTAAAACATTAAGGTAAATCTCCTATACAACCTACACCTTTAGCCTAAAACAATAATACAACCTACATTTATAGCCTAAAACAATAAGGTAAATCTCCTATACAACCTACACCTTAAGCCTAAAACATTAAGGTAATTCTCCTATACAACCTACACCTTTAGCCTAAAACAATAAGGTAAATCTCCTATACAACCTACACCTTAAGCCTAAAACATTAAGGTAAATCTCCTATACAACCTACACCTTTAGCCTAAAACAATAAGGTAAATCTCCTATACAACCTACACCTTTAGCCTAAAACATTAAGGTAATTCTCCTATACAACCTACACCTTTAGCCTAAAACAATAAGATAAATCTCCTATACAACCTACACCTTTAGCCTAAAACAATAAGGAGAATCTCCTATACAACCTACACCTTTAGCCTAAAACAATAAGGAGAATCTCCTATACAACCTACACCTATAGCCTAAAACAATAAGGTAAATCTCCTATACAACCTACACCTATAGCCTAAAACAATAAGGTAAATCTCCTATACAACCTACACCTTTAGCCTAAAACATTAAGGTAATTCTCCTATACAACCTACACCTTTAGCCTAAAACAATAAGATAAATCTCCTATACAACCTACACCTTTAGCCTAAAACAATAAGGTAAATCTCCTATACAACCTACACCTTAAGCCTAAAACATTAAGGTAATTCTCCTATACAACCTACACCTTTAGCCTAAAACAATAAGATAAATCTCCTATACAACCTACACCTTTAGCCTAAAACAATAAGGTAAATCTCCTATACAACCTACACCTTTAGCCTAAAACATTAAGGTAAATCTCCTATACAACCTACACCTTTAGCCTAAAACAATAAGGAGAATCTCCTATACAACCTACACCTTTAGCCTAAAACAATAAGGTAAATCTCCTATACAACCTACACCTTTAGCCTAAAACATTAAGGTAATTCTCCTATACAACCTACACATTTAGCCTTAAACAATAAGGTAAATCTCCTATACAACCTACACCTTTAGCCTAAAACAATAAGGAGAATCTCCTATACAACCTACCAGGGATGGGCACGATTACTGACAAATGTAATTAATTAATAATCGATTACATGAAGGTATTTTGTGCAATCGATTACTTTATCAAAAGTAATTACATTACTTTTCGATTACTGTCAATTACATGCTTCAAAATAAAAATAAAAAATAAAGTAAGGTAAACACTATTATGTTGATCAATGTTTGTATAGTAGATATTTAGAACTTTACCAAAAAAACAGCATTTAAATCATTGTTTCCAAATTATAAGTTGACAGTTGTTATCTAGATGGAATTTCTTACTGAGGATCAGAATTATTAAAAAAATCTTAAAATTTGACTTTCAACATGAATTAGAGATGACATTGCATTCCATCAATCACTTATATATATGTTTAAGTTTTTTTTTAATAATTTTGCTTTCATACTGACTTAAGTTAGCTATTTTGTTTTTATTCATTAAAAGCAGGTATATTTTAGCATAGTTATTTACAATGTTGGAAGTTTTCTCTGAAGAAAATATAAAAAAAATAGAATTATTAATTAGTTCAGCTAATTTTAAGGATCAAAATTTATAATTATAATGACAGACATGATTTAATCCTTTTGTTGGAAAACCGACTTAATTATAGGTTATAAAACTGCCAATGGAGTACAATTTATAACCTGGGGCAAAATAATGTAAATCTCCATCTTAATTAGACAAACAGTAATTGAAATAAAAACAAAGTATGTGTCTTATATAGTGATTAGAAGACTTTGATCATCTGATTAGTAAAGACAAGAAGTTTGTTAAGATTTTTTTATTCTATAATAGTATATATTTATAGTGTCAACGAGGGATACATGTATCTTTTTCTGAAAAGAATTTCAATGCATAGGCATTGGTTCATTGTTCAAAGGATTTTGTGTACTTATTTTTTATATACATGTATATCATAAAGTTATTAGAAATCAACTGTTTATCTATTCTAAGCTTAAATCTTATTGAAAATTATGCTTTAAGGAAATTAATACAAATAAGCTTACTACTTTAAGGAAGTACAGAACTTAACTTAAGACACATTTCTTATTTTAAATCTATTATCTTATTTCAAATCTATTTTCTTATTTTAATATAAAAGGTGTTGACTTATTGAAAAGCACATAAATCCATTTGTTTCAAAAGCTAGATATAAAGTAAATTATGGTAGGGGATCTAGTTGATCATAATGCAGCTTGAGACAATAGATAGAAATATAAAGGCAGTTGATTAACTCTTAAGTCATATCAGTACTTCAAAGTGATGAATACATACATGTTTTCATTTAAAATAGGTTATATTTCATCAAACTATTTTACTAACGTAATCGAAATGTAATCGAAAGTAATCGATGATTACATCATGATTTTTGCTGTAATCGATTAAATTACGATTACATGTAATCGAAAATGTCTGCGATTACAGATTACTGTTGATTACTGGAAAAAATGTAATCAATTACAATCGATTACGATTACAGATTACGATTACCCCATCCCTGCAACCTACACCTTTAGCCTAAAACAATTAGGAGAATCTCCTATACAACCTACACCTTTAGCCTAAAACAATAAGGTAAATCTCCTATACAACCTACACCTTTAGCCTAAAACAATAAGGTAAATCTCCTATACAACCTACACCTTTAGCCTAAAACAATAAGGTAAATCTCCTATACAACCTACACCTTTAGCCTAAAACAATAAGGAGAATCTCCTATTTAACCTACACCTTTAGCCTAAAACAATAAGGAGAATCTCCTATACAACCTACACCTTTAGCCTAAAACAATAAGGAGAATCTCCTATACAACCTACACCTTTAGCCTAAAACAATAAGGTAAATCTCCTATACAACCTACACCTTTAGCCTAAAACAATAAGGAGAATCTCCTATACAACCTACACCTTTAGCCTAAAACAATAAGGAGAATCTCCTATACAACCTACACCTTTAGCCTAAAACAATAAGGTAAATCTATTCAACCTACACCTAATAAAACAGTAGAACAAGCATTCTGAGAGTATTGCATGGCAATACATAGTCCCCTACCGGTTCAAAATTCATTGTACTGGAACAAAATGCTAACTTGATCTATAACTTGTCATGGTGTAAACTTTATAACAAATATCAAGTCAATATCTTCAAGCATGATGAATAAAATGCTTTGCTGAGCAAAGCTGGATACGACCGCAGAGGTCCAACCCTGAACAGTTGGGGCGAAAATGGACACAATATTCGTGCGTAATACAGGTCTGAATTTGGATTGTAATCAAATATGTGACACATAATAGGTTTCTGACACTGAATAACTGTAGTCAAAGAACTTAGAATTGGTTATATGATTTGAATTTATATTTCATTTTTTTGCTTTTGTGCAATACACTATGCTGTTGCGAATTGACTCCCCCCCCCTCCCCCCCCCCAACAAAAAAATATCCCCCCTTTTTTTTTTGCTTTAGTGAAATACACTATGCTGTTGCGTATTGACCCCCCCTTTTTTTTGCAAAAAAAAAAAAATATTTGAAGAAATTTTCTTTTTAATTTCTGAAATCTGAATTGAAAAAAAAAATTGCCCTCACCCCCTTTTCCAAAATAATTCTTTCCCTCAAGATATGGTCATAATCTCAATTCAAATTTCCAATGGAGTTTGCAACCATAATTACCAATTTAAATACATCATAAAAGTCTTCAATAGATAATTTAAAAGCAGTGTAAGGGAGGTAATCCACCATTGTACAATTTTGTTTTTGGATTACCTCCCTTACACTGCTTTTAAATTGTCCATTAACCAGGAAACCCTTGTTTTTCCCCTTTTTTGCCCCTAATTCCTAAACGGTTTGAGCCATAACCCCCAAAGCCAATCCTTACAATCCCTTTGTGGTACGGAAACTTGTGGTATAATTTCAGAGAGATCCATACACTTAAACACAAGTTATTGTCTGGAAGTTACAAAAATGCTTATTTTTGGCCCCTTTTTTGCCCCTAATTCCTTAACTGTTGGTACCATAACCCTGAAATCAATCCCAACCTTCCTTTTGTGGTATTGAACCTTATGGTAAAATTTCATAGAGATCCATTCACTTAAACTAAAGTTATTGTGCGAAAACCAATGTGTCTTCGGACGACAACGACACCAACGTCATACCAATATACAACCGCAAAAAGGTCGTATAAAAAAAGTGTGGAAAACTGATTATTTAAGTGAATTTTCTAAGTCCAAGGACCATAACTCTGCACAAAATCATCAGACTGGAACAAAATTCAAATTTGATCTGTTACTTGTTATGATAAAACTATATACCAATAATTCATTCAATATCTTCAAGCATGATGAAAACAAAGTGAGGAAAACTGATTATTTGAGTGAATTTTCTAAGTCCAAGTACCATAACTCTGCACAAAATCATTAGACCGGAACAAAACTCGAACTTGATCTGTTACTTGTCATGATAACACTATATACCAATAATTCATTCAATATCTTCAAGCATGATGAAAACAAAGTGAGGAAAACTGATTATTGAGTGAATTTTCTAAGTCCAAGTACCATAACTCTGCACAAAATCATCAGACCGGAACAAAATTCGATCTTGATCTGTAACTTGTCATGATTAAAATATAGACCACTTAACCATTCAATATCTTCAAACATGATGAAAAAAAGTGTGGAAAACTGACTATTTGAGTGAATTTTAATTTAATTCTCAATATATGCCAATTAATGTCTATGAGATGTTGCTGAGAAAGGTGTGAGAATCTAGAAATATAGCACTCAAGATCACCCCCTATTTTTGGTGTGTTTTTGTTGCTTCGTCTTAAGTTTTCTATGTAATGTTTTATAGACTGAGGTATGTCTTTTTTTCTTTAACTTATGATTTGTTTATTATACCTTTGGTATCTTCTGCCTCTTTACTATTATATATTATTTCACACATAAAAAAAGTTGCTTATTTGGCTATCAGTCCCCAACTCATTTTACATATAAAATATAGTTTAAAATTGGTTGCAAAATGCATGCAGCATTTCTGTTGGAATTGTGCGAAATGACCATCAACATAGGTTATCTAAAATATTTCAATGGAAAAGCATGAAGGAAATTTATAAAATCAAATCACTAAGAACCTATTACATGCAGTTTGTGCTGACGATTTTGACTAATAAGGTTTTAGTCTTTCTGCTATATTTCTGCTGCATGTGTGTACTGTTGATTCATTATTATTTTTAGTGGATTTGGTGGATAACGGTGAACCAGGAAATTAGATATTCAAGGAAGTAAAAATTTTCTATAGGCTTTTGTGCAGATTTTTCCAAAACCCCAAAATCACATACCCACGAAATTGCATTTTCCATCAATCCTTGAAAGTTAATATTCACGAAAAATAACTGAATCCACAGTATTTACATACTTTAGCATTCCAAAGTTTTCACTATGAACATCTCTGGTGAAAGTTAATTCAGTAAAAAACAAGATTAATTGTGAGCTATTGCTCACTAACGATACCCTTGCTATAAATATTTGGTGAACAGGAAGTTATAGCGACATGTATGTGAAAATGTTTCACACTATAAAGCATGCTCACATGTAGTTTGATGCAAATTTTAAGAAGCACTGAATTGTAGTTCCTGAGAAAAATGTGACAAAATATTCATACATGGCCACTACATGTAAGAATTTATAAATATTTTGTAAACAGGAAGTTAATTAGAAATGGTTGTGAAAAGGCATCACACAGTAAAGCATGCTTTACATGAAGCTTCATACCAAATCTCAGAAAGCTCTGATTATGAGTTCCTGATAAAAATGCTATCAAAGTTTCATTGAACATATTGATGAAAGGACAGACTGACAGAGGTATAAAGTAGTATGCCTCCATCCTTTGGAACTAGGTATAATAAAAATACCAAAATGTTATATGTGTAATTTACAAGCTATATATTCATTTTAAAACTTACCAATATTTTGACTTCTGGCACTTTGCTGGTTCTGTGGCACAAGTTAAAGAAAAATGAAATCCTACAGTAGAACCATGAACTATAATATTTAGTAGATAATATGTACCTTACAATTCTTCTGATATTTACAGATTACAGAGGCTCTCTCATGTAAAGTTAGACCTACAGCAAAATATGTTACAAAAGACGTGATGTACATAAAATACATTTATCTTTGTTTTCTGAATTGTTCTCTGTGTTTTTGAGGCATTAGGATGACAGTTCCAAAAGCATCAGATATACATAAGCGTAGCTGTGACAAAAGAATTATATAATGGAGTTGCCTAAGTAACAGGAACAAAAGTTTATTTACACAGGAAAATATCAGTGATAATTATACCTAGGGGAGCAATTGGCAAAGATTGAGAATTCAATATACATCTTCAGCAAATCAAAATGATCTCTTGCTTTGTCCTGACCTTTTACTTACGGACCTCAAAATCATTAGTTGTTTCTCTTTATTTTATATAATATCATACATCCAAATGGGAATGATTGGATCTAGGATTAAACAATATTATAAAGGAATCTAAGCATTTCCCCAACTTCATCCTATTTATAGCTGATGTAACCATCATCTTTGACCAAGGGAACTCGAAACAATAAGAGTTTTATTTGGTAAAGATCTGATATAACTCCAAAGAGAATATCTTGAAAAAAAACAATGTTGATGCTGTTACACCAAGCCTCTCTGTCACTATTCTTCATCATGCTCATCTCAAAGCATAAAACTTATATCTTCTGATAAATAATAATATACAAATAAGTTGAATTGCATTCATAAGCTAGTTTGCAAGGATACTCATCACATAAGTGACCATTGGTTTCCATAGTAACCTCATCCTCTGATCCAGCTGGTGATTGGTCAGTTTCATCTACTTTAATCTTTTCTGGATTTATTTGATTGGTTGTTACTGTATCCATCACAACTGCTTCACGGAAGCCAAATCTTTCACCATTTGATCTTGAAAAAGAACAAAGAAAAAATAATACTCTCTTAACCATGGCCAAATTTAACTAATAAGTAATTCGTTCTTATCTACTCGTCCAAGAAAACAAGTTTGTCTATACAGTGTAACTAACCCATAGTCTAAATAAAAAATAAATGGAGAATGTGTCCATGGTACACAGATGATGCCCCCGCTTGCATATGATGTTATAAAGAGGCTTAACTCAAGAACGGTAAAAGTGACGCCACCCAAATTCAAACCTGATCTGAATTTTGTGTTAATAAGCACTCTGTATAAGTTTCATATCATTTGGTTGAGGCAAACTTAAGTTAGAAAATGGAAACTGTAAAGGGGCATAACTCTAGAACGGTAAAAGTGACGCCACCCAAATTCAAAATTGATCTGTGTTTTGTGGTAATAAGCATTGTGTATAAGTTTCATAACATTTGGTCGTGGCAAACTTAAGTTAGAGAACTTAAACCAATTTCGGGACGTACTTACAGACATACAGACGTACAATTGAACCTATTAACCAAATTGATGTTTCTGCATTGTATGGTTTAACCAGTAAGCATTTAGAAATAGAAATTCTCATATAATTTCCATATAATTAAATAACAAGAGTGCACACGCTGAAATGTCTCGCCTTCTTTACTAATCATTGATATTATGTTGATAGTCCTAAATATAAAGCTTTATTACAACTGTCACATAAACTTAAAATTAACCAAGTAAACTAAACATTGACCAATGAACCATGAAAATAAGGTCAAGGTCAGATGAACCATGCTAGGCAGGCATGTACAGCTAACAATTCTTCCATACAACAAATATAGTTGACCTATTGCTTATAGTTTAAGAAAAACAGACCAAAACACAAAAATTTAACACTGAGCAATGAACCTTGAAAATGAGGTCAAGGTAAAAAAAAAACCTGTGTGACTGACAAATAGATCATAAAATATTTCCATACACCAAATATAATTGAACTATTGCATATAGTATTAGAAAAAAAGACCAAAACTCAAAAACTTAACTTTGACCACTGAACCATGAAAATGAGGTCAAGGTCAGATGACACCTGCCAGCTAGACATGTACACCTTGCAATCATTCCATACACCAAATATAGTAGACCTATTGCATACAGTATAAGAAAAACAGACCAAAACACAAAAACTTAACTATAACCACTGAACCATGAAAATGAGGTCAAGGTCAGATGACACCTGCCAGTTGGACATGTACACCTTACAGTCCTTCCATACACCGAATATACTAGACCTATTGCTTATAGTATCTGAGATATGGACTTGACCACCAAAACTTAACCTTGTTCACTGATCCATGAAATGAGGTCGAGGTCAAGTGAAACCTACGCGACTGCATATAGATCATAAAATATTTCCATACACCAAAAATAGCTGACCTATTGCATATAGTATTAGAAAAAAAGACCAAAACTCAAAAACTTAACTTTGACCACTGAACCATGAAAATGAGGTCAAGGTCAGATGACACCTGCCAGCTAGACATGTACACCTTACAATCATTCCATACACCAAATATAGCAGACCTATTGCATACAGTATAAGAAAAACAGACCAAAACACAAAAACTTAACTATAACCACTGAACCATGAAAATGAGGTCAAGGTCAGATGACACCTGCCAGTTGGACATGTACACCTTACAGTCCTTCCATACACCGAATATACTAGACCTATTGCTTATAGTATCTGAGATATGGACTTGACCACCAAAACTTAACCTTGTTCACTGATCCATGAAATGAGGTCGAGGTCAAGTGAAAACTGTCTGACGGGCATGAGGACCTTGCAAGGTACGCACATACCAAATATAGTTATCCTATTACTTATAATAAGAGAGAATATAACATTACAAAAAATTTTAACTATTTTTTCAAGTAGTCACTGAACCATGAAAATGAGGTCAAGGACATTGGACATGTGACTGACGGAAACTTCGTAACATGAGGCATCCATATACAAAGTATGAAGCATCCAGACCTTCCACCTTCTAAAATATAAAGCTTTTAAGAAGTTAGCTAACGCCGCCGCCGCCGCCGGATCACTATCCCTATGTCGAGCTTTCTGCGACAAAAGTCGCAGGCTCGACAATAAAACTATCTTAATTACGATGTTCTAATATGATATTGATATTTTTAATATTACCTAGCTTGTCTGTCATTTTCAAGTGCTTTCTGTATCCATTCTGTTATTTCTGTAACCTTAACAACAGCAATATTGGAACATCTTAAAACCTGAAAGAAAAATGCTGATTCAAATAATTTTATATTGTTCCTGAATATTTGTTTAAATTGAGATTTTTAATCTTTTATGACAATTAACAACAGCCATATCAACAAATAAACATAGTTTTGGACACAATCTCTCAATAATATATAACTTAGATGCAAATTTATGCTTTATAAAATTTGATATATAAGATCACACTATTGCCATTTTCTAATGGGAAATAAAAAAGTCATTTCACTCTTTGGTATTGAAGAACAACAAAAGCTGCACTTTTCTACAATTAATGTCACCCTTTTCAAACTCGTGCAAAACCAAGGAATATAACACTAATTTTGTGTCACTTCCTACATGGAACATATATTAAGTCAGTAAATGTTTGATTTCTTTGCCAGATTCATTTTATTGATATCACTCCATAGCTATGTTCTTCAATTCACAGTTGTGGCATGATCATCAGTTTGCAAAGAATTCTGCTCAAACTGGTGCTAGGGGCAGTCTTAAACTTGCAGTGAGGTGAGAGTTTTTGCTCCATGTTGAAGGCCTCACTGTGACTATGAATTGAAGGACAGCAATAAAAGTGCTGCTCCTTTGCTTTTTGCTTTTCTGCTGTGCATGTACTAATTTAGTGTCATGGATACCCCATATCCTTTCTTTTCTATTATATTACTTTGTTATACAATATTAAAGTTAACAAGTATCTTGCAAACTTTAACTGAATGTAAATATTCTTCTAAGACAAATGTTATTTCAACAAGGGCAGATGTATTACTATAAAGCCTAGTCAGAATGATACATACCTGATCTTTTAATAATAACATTTGACCTGTGACCTGTAGTGAGCATATTTCTCTGTGTTTATTCATCCCTATTACCATCTTTCCATCCATAACTTTCTCTTCCTTGTCAGAGGGATCAACCAATAAAAATTTCCTAATAAACGATATAAGTATCATGGATTTCGATTGGTTGATAGAATATTTTTCATGTAATTTCTTTCCTCTAATGAATTTGATGGTGTACTTATTCTATTTTCTGGAACAAATTCAAGCATTCATTTCTCTTATATAAATTACATTTATATGCTACAACCATGAAATTACAAGTTATATTAAGCTTTCAATTGTATTTCCTATGCATTTTTGATATGTTGTTATGGGAAGCACATGCAGTCATGAATGTTGAATTTCATCCAGAAATAAAATTTGCTCTATTAATGCCTCACAATTGTTACCAGCCAATCAAAACTCTAGATTCATATAAAACAAACATGTTATGTAAATATAACATAATGTTGAGATGTTGTGATGTGTTATATTGATAAAAAAATGTAAATACATTAACTACATGTGTTTTGTTAATAGGAAATTTATGGACAATGGGTATAAAATTCGTCATATTTTACCACTAACTTTGATGAAAATGATCTGCTGTACACTGTTTTTTTTTAAACCGACAGAAAGTATATGCTATCTTTTGCTGCTGTTAATGAAGGTATATGAGTGGATAAATGGGAAAATTTGGAAGCAAAATTCTTGTAAGTATCCAAGATTGCATATGAAAAATATGGCCTAGTACTGTACCTTTAAAGCATGCAGACCTGCCAACTATCCCGATTAATTGGGGAAATCCCCCATGAGAGGGGTTGACCTGAATTTTGAAATTCTTTATAATATAAACTGAACACCTCAAAACAGGCATTCAAATGAGTTAAAAGTGTATTTAAGCACATATATACTCTTTCAAACGATAAAGTAGGAGATAAAATACACTTATGACAATAAATAAAATGCTCCGCAGGGCGCAGCTTGATACGACCGCAGAGGTCGAACCCTGAACAGTTGGGGGAAGTATGGACACAACATTCAAGCTTGATACAGCTTTGGATTTGGATTGTGATTAAATATTTGACACAGCATAGGTTTCTAACACAGATTGAATGTGGTCTAAGAACTTAAAAATTTTAAATTGGACATTCACCTATTATGGTCCAATATCCAAAATCTAAATACACAGTTAGATTCGGCATATCAAAGAAACCCAATAATTCAATTTTTGATGAAATCAAACAAAGTTTAATTTTGGACCCTTTTGACCTCAATGTGGACAAAGTTGATAACGGGGCCCAAAAATAAAAAATCTAAATACATGGTTAGATTCAGCATATCAAAGAACCCCATATATTCAATTTTTGTTGAAATCAAACAAAGTTTAATTTTGGACCCCGATTTGGACCAACTTGAAAACTGGGCCCATAATCAAAAATCTAAATACATGGTTAGATTCAGCATATCAAAGAACCCTAAGAATTCAATTTTTGTTAAAATCAAACTAAGTTTAATTTTGGACCCTTTGGACCTTATTGTAGACCAATTTGAAAACGGAACCAAAATTTAAGAATCTAAATACACAGTTAGATTCGTCATATCAAAGAACCCCAATAATTCAATTTTTGATGAAATCAAACAAAGTTTAATTTTGGACCCTTTGGACCTCAATGTGGACCAATTTAAAAACGGGGCCCAAAATCCAAAAACTAAATAATTAGATTAGATTCAGCATATTAAAGAACCCCATGAAATCAAGAATAAAACCCCATTGAAATTGGTCAAGAAATAAGCAATTTATAGGAAGTATCTTCTTTTGCACAATCCTGTGCTATTAAATATTTCTTGCTATTGCGCAATACTGTACAATTGACAATTTCTTGCTATTGCGCAATATTGTGCTATTGGATATTTCTTGCTATTGCACAATACTGTGCAATTGAAGATTTCTTGCTATTGCGCAATACTGTGCAATTGAAGATTTCTTGCTATTGTGCAATACTGTGCAATTGAAAATTTCTTGCTATTGCACAATACTTATTATATAATAATTTACACATCCTGTTTGGTGTGTATCGATCTCCTACCATATCATTATTATTTGATTTTAAATATAAATCAGAAATAACCAACTTAAAATGGAAAATTTTAAAAGAAACAAAAAAGGAAAAAAAGAAAAAAAAGGAAAAAAAAAATAAATCCCCCCCCAAAATTTTTTGAACCCCCATTATGATTCATCACCCCCAAACTCAATCCCATCCTTCCCTTTGTGGTATGGTACCTTGCAGTACAATTTCAGAGAGATCCATACACTTGAACACAAGTTATTGTCTGGAAACTAGAAAAAAATGTGTTTTTTGGCCCCTTTTTGGCCCCAAATTCCTAAACGTTTAGGGCAATTACCCCCAAACTCAAACCCAGCTTTCCCTTTGTGATATGGAACCTTGTAGTACAATTTCAGAAAGATCCATACACTTACACACAAGTTATTGTCATGAAACTAGAAAAATGCTTGTTTTTTGCCCCTTTTTTGGCCCCTAATTCCTAAAATTTGGAGGCAATTACCCCCAAAATCAATCTCAGCATTCCTTTAGTGATATGGAACCTTGTGGTACAATGTCAGAGAGATCCATACACTAACACACAAGTTATGTCAGGAAGTTACAAAAATGCTTATTTTTGGCCCCTTTTTGGCCCCTAATTCCTTTACTGTTATTACCATAACCCCCAAAATCAATCCCAACCTTCCTTTTGTGGTATTGAACCTTGTGGTAAAATTTCATAAAGATCCATTCACTTAAACTAAAGTTAGAGTGCGAAAACCAATGTGTCTTCGGACGACGACGACGACGACGCCGGACGACGACGACGCCGGACGACGACGACGCCAACGTCATACCAATATACGACCACAAAAATTTTTTTGCGGTCGTATTAAAAGCAGCATTAGGTCCTCTTGTGCTTAAAATCCCCCATTGGGATTTTGAAAAGTTGGCAGGTATGAGCATGTCAAAAATTTTTGTTTAAAATTATGGCTTACCCTTGTTCATAAAAGGAAAATGATACACAAATAGGCATATGGTGAACACTGAGTGGTAATGGGTCCTTTTCTTCTATTGTGTGCTGTTAAATATCATGAATATTCATATAATTCATTAATGACAAAATAATACATATATAATTACATATTTAATCAGTAACATATAAAATTCTATTTCAGATTCTTGGATTCACAGTCAAACTTGAAATGCAGATATAGCTCATTAGATTATAGATCTTTGCATGTGAAATTAAAATGTCTTTGCAGATAGAACTGTCCAAATATTTACTGAAACTGAAGTCTATCAAACCAAATACTGGAGAGAGCATTGGTAGGATTAGTAACTATGGCAAAACGTTCTTTCTTTAATTTAGATTTAAATTCAATATACATCTTTTTTGTCAAGTAGAAAGTAGATATCTATCAGGTATATAAATACCATAGATGTATTTATTATGTAAAAGCTGTTATTTGTGGTTTCTGCTAATAATGCTGGGAAAGTTTTTGCAACAGTACAATGAGGAGATGAATGACAATAGGCTGTCAGAGTGACAGCAAACCGGATTTTCCTGCAGAGGTCAAACACTGCACAGTTGAGCAAGTATGGACACAACATTTAAGCTTATAACAGCTCTGAATTTGGATTGTGATTGAACATTTGACACAGCATAGGTTTGTGACCCAAAATGAATGTAGTCGAAGAACTGAAAAATTTGAAATTAGACATTTACCTATTATGGTTCAATATTCAAAATCTAAGTATATTGTAAGAATTCGCATATCAAAGAACCCCAAGAATTAAATTTTTTATGAAATACTCATTTCTGTTTAAAGGGAAATAACTCAAAATTCATATAATAACTCAAATTCATATAATTTATAATCATAATAAACAACCAGTGATATCTAAATACTCTAAAATTAGATATGATGCAATCACTAAAATATTGTTAGAATCAGCATATCAAAGAACCCCAATTTTTGATGAAATTAAACAAAAGTTTAATTTAGGACCCTTTGGACCTCAATGTGATATTATCTAATTAATAATGAAAACAAGTCAAAATCGTGATTATTGAACTTGACCTCCATTTTGTTGTCAGTAACAACATATTAAAATTTAAAAAGGTTTGGTTGAACAGTTCATGAGTAAATGCACGGACACGACATTTTTTTAACTTTCAAGAACCGTAACTCCTGAACGGTAAAAGTCAAAATCGTCATTATTGAACTTGACCTCCATTTTGTTGTCAGTAACAACATATTAAAATTTAAAAAGGTTTGGTTGAACAGTTCATGAGTAAATGCACGGACACGACATTTTTTAAACTTTCAAGAACCGTAACTCCTGAACGGTAAAAGTCAAAATCGTCATTATTGAACTTGACCTCCATTTTGTTGTCAGTAACAACATATTAAAATTTAAAAAGGTTTGGTTGAACGGTTCATGAGTAAATGCACGGACACGACATTTTTTAAACTTTCAAGAACCGTAACTCCTGAACGGTAAAAGTCAAAATCGTCATTATTAAACTTGACCTCCATTTTGTTGTCAGTAACAACATATTAAAATTTTAAAAGGTTTGGTCGAATGGTTCATGAGTAAATGCACGGACAACATTTGGTTGCCGCCCGCCTGCCCGACCGACCGACCGCCGTACATCCCCAAATCAATAACCGACATTTTTGACACAAAAATCCGGTTAATAAAATGAATGAAACAGTTTTTAAAAGTTGATACAAAATATAATGAACATGCTGACCACCACATGCTAAATACATAAGCAATCCATCTCCTCTAAAGGTCAAATTAAAGGTTACATGAATACTGATTCAAATGAGTTGAATAATGTTTTAAGCTTACTATGTTGAAATTAAACCAAACTGACTGCTACTAGTGAAAAATTATTTCTTTATTTCACTTTTATAATGTTTGAAACAATAAAAATCATACTTTATTTTTTTGTCTTATTCGTAGTTAATGCCCCTTTAAGCCAGAGAGAAGAAAGATATTTGTCAGAAACAGGATAACAATAGACTTGTTTACTTACAACTATCACATCCGTGCCATCAACAGTAACATCAGGTCGTCTAAAGAAATAAATCAAGATTATAATTATTCATGATAACAACCATTACTGTGGATTCTTTATTTTTTGTGGGATGCCAATTTTCTTGGATTTCATTGGTATAGGTGAACCACAAATTTAAATGTTCAACGAAGAAAAAATTTTCTATCGGCTTTCATACAGATTTTGATAAATCCATGATATATAATATCCACCAAAATGCAATTACTTTATGTTTCTAAAATGAGCCTGGTACCCAATGGTTTTTATTGGTTGCTGTCTGCAATAGATGTCTTTAGTTTATTCATTTAGCTTAATCAGGCCATTGGTTTCCCCTTTTTATTATTAGCTTAACTGTACTGTATGGGTTTTGCTCATTGTTGAAGGCAGTACTTTGACCTGTTGCTGTTCACATCCTTCTTCTTTGTTATTTTTTGGAGGATAATTGTCTCATCTGCAATCATACCACATCTTCTTATCTCCATATTTATGCTGCAATAGCATCTATAATGTACTATTTTTCATCATTCTGTGTTTGTAAGTACCTGAAATGTGCCAATGCTGTAATGGCAGCTATACTGGAACAATCTATCAAGTTTCCATCATGGTTCATAACATGTACATCTACTCTAATCTGCCAAACCTAAAAAAAACCAAACAAGAATCATAATATGGATTGACCGGGCCCGATTTGGTGGTGTTATATCTTGTAAAGTTTATCCAAATTATTTTTGCAAAGAATTCCCCTCAAGCCGGTGATAGGGGCCGTCTTAAACTTGCAGTGAGGTGAGAGGGTTTTTTTTGCTAAGTGTTGAAGGCCTCACTGTGACTTTAAGATGAAGAACAGCAATAAAAGCGCTGTTCCTTTGCTTTTTTGTGTGTTTTTTGCTTTACATGTACTGATTTTGTGTCATGGATGGATACCCCATAACCTTTGTTTTTCTTTTATACTAACAGAATATGCTTAAGGGACAATTTTTTATATTTTATAGTTATCTTCTTATTTCAGGGTTAGCAAAGTATTACCAGAGTGGGAAAACCCGGGGCTGGGCAATACTCCCAGAAACCGGTAATACTGGGCAATATGATTTTTTAAGCTTATTTTTATACAGAATAGTAAAGACTTGTTGTAGTTTCATAGTATTATAGCTAAATATATACATTTCATATAGATAACCATTGAGAGTAATTTCTAGTGGATTGAAAATTCAATTTCTTCCTTTTCTTCAATAATTCTTTGTAAGCAGAATACAAGTTTTTCACATTGTAGGATACCTTGTTAATTTCCAAGCTTTGTTTTAGCATGTTTAATAATCCAAACTATGAAAAAATACATTTTATTGCAGTGTTTAAGTGAATTGTAAATATTAATTGTTATACAATCATATTGCTAAATAAACACTCTAAGTGGACATGTCATGAACACTTATAGAAATGAAAACGCTGATTATTATATATATGTGTTATAACCTGGATAATTACTTAATAACTAGTGATGTACATATATATATATACTGCTTAAATAATAAACATTTTTAGCAATGAACAAATAAATGTGGATAGTGCCCACATGTGGACACAGATGATGCCTCCGCTTGCATATCATATAGTTATAAAGGGACATAACTGAAGAACGGTAAAAGTGAAGCTACCCAAATTTGAACTAGATCTGAGTTTTGTGGTAATAAGCATTGTGTATAAGTTTCATAACATTTGGTTGAGGCAAACTTAAGTTAGAGAACGGAAACCAATTTTGGGACATATGGACGTACGGACGGACGTACGTACAGACGGACAAGGGTAAAACTTAATGCCCCCTCCGCTACGGCGGGGGCTTAAAAATGTTTAAAAGTAATTTACTTTACATATAATTGATAATTCTTTTAAAATAGTTATATATATTTACAAAAAAAACCCAAATTGAATTCTTTGGCTTTTATGTAAACAGTTTGACAAATCTAGACAGAATGTCAAATTGATAGATTTTTAGGAGGATTATTAAGAAAAGCTTTTCACATTTGTCTAATGTGTCTTTGTGTACACTTGTCTTAGAGTTGCTGGAACAATACTTTCTCAGATTTATACACTTTGTAATAAGAGTCTCAAACAAAATACTATTTTTTTAATTTTTATAAATATCTTTAGTGTATTGCATTTGTGATTAATCACTGAATCCTCTTTAAAATTCAGGCCAGTATTTCATATTACCCAGTAAAACCCGGGTTTTCCTAGTATTTCCCATTGGGCTGGGCAATACTCACAAAACCTTGGTTTTTGCCAACCCTGTCTTATTTAGCACTTTTAGTTTTATGTTCTTAATACTCATTCAGTAATAAATGGCTGAAGTAGCACAGATTTATAGATTATCAATGGTTTTCAAACGAGAGGTGTATCTCTTCTACAATCTAATCAAAGGGTGACAGCCCAGGATGAGATGTAGCCAAGAAACATCCTAGAGTTGGAAAGAACATTGATAATCTGTTTATCTCTGTTTTCCTAGGCAACATCAATGACATAGGCTCATGACGTCATATATTTTCTTTCTACGCAACTGAGAAAATCCCACATCACTTGAGTAATGTGATATGAAAAATTATTACATAAAAAGACGAAAGAAAATTTTAGAAAATAGCGATAAATTGTTTTATTAGCTTTGTTTGGATTAATTTGCTCCCATAAATTTTTGACAGATGAAGTTGTAATAAAACATAGTAGCACCATATTCCAGACAAAACACTTGCATTTTTTTTTTTTTACAACAGAAAATCAATTCATTAAAAATACCCTCTCCCATATCAAGTTGAAATTGAAATTTAATATTCCTGTTTTTCAAAATTTCATCATTTTATCCCTTTATTCAAAGAACTATAAATAAATTGGATTTGTCTTATCATCATATTTATTGTATTTGAATGATTTCATAAGTCTACATTTTACCACCTGATAAGATGAAATTCAGTTATTTCAGATATATTTTCTTTAAATTTTTGACCCCATTTAGAAAGTACATAATAATATACTGACCAAATTCTGGATAAAAATTCAAATTGGCTACTTGGTTTATTAATAATAATCTAACCAGAATAAACTGCTTCGCCGATCACAGCTGGATACGACTGCATAGGTCCAACCCTGAACAGTTGGGGCAAAAATGGACACAATATTCAAGCTTGATACAGGTCTGAATTTGGATTGTAATTAAATATTTGACACATTATAGGTTTCTGACACAGAAGAAATGTAGTCAAAGAACTTGAAATTGGTTGTATGATTTGAATTTATATTCAATTGAAGATTTCTTGCTGTTGTGCAATACACTGTGCTGTTGCGCAATACTTAGTAAATCTGTTTTCAGACTATATACAAAGAATTAGCAAAATAAATTGTGACCCCCCAATTTTTTTCTTTGGAAAATTGACAATTTCTTAAATCTTGAGGAAAAAAAATTGACCCCCCCAAAAAATTTTTTTTTTACCCCCCCCCTCCAAAAAATATAATATTTGAAGAGAATATTCTTTTGAGGAAAAAAAATTGCCCCCCCCCCCCCAAAAAAAAAGTTTAAGACCCTTATTGGCCCCTAATTCCTGAACGGTTTGGGCAATTACCCCCAAAATGAATCCCAACCTTCTACTTGTGGTATTGAACCTTGTGGTACAATTTCAGAGCAATCAAAATACTCATACACAAGTAATTGTCCTGAAACTAGAAAAATGCTTGTTTTGGCCCCTTATTCCTACACGGTTGGGACCATCACCCCCAAAAACAATCCCAACCTTCCTTTTGTGGTATTGAACCTTTTGATTAAATTTCATAGAGATCCATACACTTAAACTAAGGTTATTGTCCGGAAACCAAATGTCTTCGGACGACACTGACTCCGACGTCATACCAATATACTACCGCAAAATTTTGTGGTCGTATAAAAACTATGAGTAGTGCTCACAAATTCATACCACACTTCCAAATAAATCTGAAATCTTATTTCCAGTTTAAGAATAGTTACATATTCCAAATTCCTTCCAACAGTTGTCATGTTTGCAAATATGGTTAAGTTTATCTTACGCTATGGGAAATCCCCATAAACAAATCAGATAATAAAAATAAAATAAAATGGGACACACAGATTTGTTTTGGTTTCTTTGTGTCGTCAAGTTGCCGACATATACCCCAAATCTTCTTTTGTTTGTATGATTCCATGAATTATTCCTTTAATATCCTAAAAAGACATCCTAAAGATTTTTACCTTGCAGTATCCTCCATATTTATATATTCAATAAACTATGTTCAAGATAAACTGATAAAATCAAAAACTTTTGTAAACCAACAAAAATTTGATACTTGTGTTGTTTGACTCAACTTGAATTAGTGTGTGTTTTTATTCATTTTCCTATCAGAAACAAATAAATTTATGGTATCCCGACTATTGTGTAGTTTACTTTAAATTCTAACCTTGGTTGGCCCTATATTTTTTGAAAAGTTTTATTCCTCACTCTGCTACACTACACTCTGGTAAAAATTTCATGGAGATATGGCCTACCCAAGGTCAAATCTCTAATAACCCTCGGGTTTCCATAAATTATTTATTAATGATTCAATCACCTTCTCTCCAGCTATAATACACAGAGATTCAGTATCTACACATCTGGATTCTTTCAGACATCTTTCTAAGATTCTATTTATTTCTACCCCCTGGTCTGACATTCTAAAAAAGAAATTAACATCAACAGTCATTGATTTGAACTGTATGAGAAAAAATTTAAACACAAGTGAACCAATGCCTGGTAAATCTTCTGTCAGTAGATTCCATAAAGTGGATACCTCGGGAATGCAGGGTCGATAAAAACATAAAATGTAGAAGGTCCTGTAACAACAACACTTAAAGGAATGCTCCAGTAATTTATTGAGATCGACATGTTTCGGTGGCTAGGCCACCGTCATCAGGATAGAAAACAATACATAAAATCATGCTGAGGTACAAAATCGGGTTGAGAAAATTAAAACGATTGTATGAGAAAAAGTTAAAACAAATTTGAATATTTCATGGTGTATCATAAATTTCAAATTTTCTTACTTTTGCCAAGTGACTCTTCTTGTTTTCAATAAAAAAAACAGTCAGCATTACAATAGAAATGATGATCAATTTGAACTCTTGTGTAAATGTGTGTTAAGTTGAGAAGTGCTACAAGGAATATTCTCCTTATCATTTTCTTACCTTCCAACTTCAAATACTGGACTTGCCATGGGAGATAACTCAACATTTACAAATAAAACACCATCTGATGGTCTCTGTTGTTTTGGTGATGTTATTTCACATGATACTTGTGCCAATACCCTGGAAAGATAGTCATATAAGATAAGTACAAACCTTGAATAAAACTGCCTCCTCACCCATCCATCAAGATGTTTATTTATTACTAAAACTACACTGATACCTTTTTAATCTTGATAAACACCCAAAATAATAGACCCAAAAAAAAGAACAAACAAACAAATCTTGAAAATACTTATAGACTATAGACTATGCATATATATATGAGCAATACAATGATAAAATATTGGTAAATTTCTAAATTACCTTGTCTGACCAAGGTCAACACGACAACATCCTCTATCATACCCAAAGGCAATCTTAAGTGTTCTGTAGTCATAGGCCTGCCTCCCATCCAATCTCTGAGAAATAAAAACAAAATGATTAATCAATATCTCAATACAAATTCATTTCTGTATTCTTTAATGTCTTCAGCCATTTTTCTGTATTCTTTAATTTTTGGCCAATTTTTCAACATTCTCGGCTTAGGATCTATATTCCCTGAGCTGTTATGATGATGTTATTGAGGTTCCATCTTATTCGTAAATTACATAAAAAAAATATTTCTATCAAAACAACAATTTAGAATTTCAAATTATAATTCCATCAGATGGGCCTTTGCAGAAATTTATTTGTTATGAATCCCTCTTTCAACAAATGCTATCAGTCACTCTCCTTTGCATGTTTTTGCAAGAAATATTGTAACGTTCCGGGGTTTTCTTGTCAGGATATACCCGTCGTTACTTATGTGGGCCTCTGGTGAAGGAAGTAATAATAAACATCATATTGGAGTTCATAAATTGTATTAATACTACTATTTCTGTTTCAGCAATACAACAAATACAAGGGTTCATGAAACCAAATACGTTAATAATATATACAATAAGTAATACAGCACGGTGCATTACTTGCACACACAAATTTAATAAAATAATTCTTCTAGCGCTCGGTGCAAGAAAATCTACTTGGTGCACTGCTTTCTAATACTCAGCATACTCAGTGCATGGTTAGTGATTTACCAGAGCAGTACATCAGCATTTTTATATGAAGACTTGGTTAATTATCAAGTCTATTAAATATTATCACCAAGCACTTTTACTTGGTGCAGCAAATTATAGTTTTAGATATACTGCTAACCACATGGAGGTTCTTGGAGAGAAGCTCAAAGTAGGAAACATGTGTTCCGTATTTTATACAAAATCGTCATTACGTGTGACGTAATACACAAGTTATTCATAAACAAGAACAGGAACACGTAACGTTACATTTGGCGCGTTATACTGAAACTAAGTATAAACAAATACAAAATGAACAATTAAACACATAAATAAAGTCGATATATATAGATTTAAAGAAGTCAGTATATAATGTAAGGTCCAGGTAAGCTATTTCTTCTGTAAAGTATAAATCAGAACACAACAACGGACATCTGCATGTATCAAGTGTGGAACGGAGACTACAGTGATAATATAAACACATCTATCTTACTTACACAAGTTAAACCACAGTAAAATTATCAGCTTTCAAATCACCGGGGCGTAACACTATCTCTCTTTGTAAGGGATACTCTCTTTACATTATGCCAGCTTTATTTAGACAAAAGTTTTTCAAGGCAAAGAAGGAAAAATTTAAACTACAATGCAGGTATAGAAATGATTGTCTATCCTCACAAAACTTCCCATTTCATGAAATTAATATTCAAAGTGAAAACAATGTCATTTTGCACTAGGTTTTTTGTTGTCTTTTATAATACCTGGTATTATGGAAGTTCTAAATAGGATCTTTGGGTTTCATTTGGATGCTTGAATGTCAAAGTGATATGTTCTATAAGTAATATGTTCTATCATTGTCCATTTGAAGGTAAAACTGATTATGAAAGGGCAAATTTTATACCTCATTATATACAAAGCTCATGCAAAATAGAGGGTGTAACATCAATGTACCCAAATTGCACCCATTTTGCCAAAAAAAAGGGAGGACATTTTTTAAGAAATTAAACAATTCATATTTATATATATATATTATACATGTATTGGGGGGGGGGCTTAAATTCATAAAAAAAACTTCAACTCACTTCGTTCAGTGGTATTTCAATTACACTATTAGAAAAGAATGACAACTCTCCCATCTCAAAAACAATACTTCAAAGTTTTTTAAGAGATTTTATCCGTAATTGGCTTCCTATCAATTAATTCTATGAGTTTATTTATAATGATAATGTCATACAAACCGTCTCAAAATATTGTTACTTGGGAATAATGTTAAAGTGTAATGGCAACTTTAATTTAGCTGTATCCTTACTTATGGAAAAAGCTAGAAAAGCATGTTTTAAGATTAAGAAAACAATTGGATTGGATAATCCTTGTAAATTTTTAGAAAAATTATTTGATTCATTAGTAAGTTCGATCTTGCTGTATTGTAGTGAGGTTTGGGGCGTTTTTGATAATTCAGGGGACAATTCCATTTTGGAAAAATTCCATATGAAGTTCATAAAAGAAATTTTAGGTGTTCATTGCAAAGCAGTTAATGCTGCTTGTAGAGCTGAACTTGGCAGGCTACCATTGTGGTCAAAAATCTCATTTTCTTGTATTAAATTTTTTGAACATATTTTAAGGTCTGAAAACACCCTTGTATCCAAAATTTTTCTGGCAACTGAAAAAAATATCCCCTTGACCAGTCAGGGATATAACTCTATAGGGTCATTACAGGAAATAACTTGCATGTGTTATTACAGATATTTTTATGATTTGTCTACTCTTTAAACCTAAAATTTTCTAAATCTGTAATAACATATGTTTGTTATTTGTAAAATAAATCATCAACATTTTAATTTTTAGTGGGCTCTAGGGAACTCTGGAAACTTTGCGCAGAAACTAAATGCATAGCCTTGATAACTAATTTTTGAATTAAATTAAAACATTTATCATTAACCATGGTAAATCAATAAGACAAGGCTTTTAAGTGATAAACTTAGCTGTAATAACAAGGCTTAGTTATTAAAGGCATGCAACTTATTATATGAGACACTTGGGATTTACTGGGAAACTTGCACAGACCCTCATTACATGCTCTGGTTATTATTTCTTACAATGAATTAAAATAAATTGTAAATAAGCATGACGTATGTCTGAGCAAATGCTTTGGAGTGATATAGAGAAGCTGTAATAACACCCTTTAGTTATTACAGGCCAATTTTTTCTGTAATAACATAGGTGTACTATGCATGATTGTCAAAATATGAACTGTTATATCTTTCTATAGTTAAGTATACATAAAGACAATAGCAATATCAATAGAACCTGTATACATTTTAACAAAACTAATGATGTGTATTGTCCCTTTGAAACATGTAACATACATATGTTATCACAGATCTTTGATTTTTTAGTCCACAATAACAAACATTATTTTTCTCTAATAACCCTATAGAGTTATATCCTTGACTGTTGACAAAGAAACTTTATTCTATTTTAAACAATCTAGGATTTTCAAACCTAGCTGGGAGAAAATGTTCTATTAAACAATATCTACCAAGTATTAAACAAAGAGTGATTGGTCAGTGCACACAGGATCAATCATCAAAAATTTACAATTCATCCAAACTAAAATTTTATCAAAAATTTCATAATTCAAATCAGTGTAGTTCTTATGTTGATGTTCTAAAGAACAAATTAGAAAGGTCATCTCTGTGTAAAATAAGATTGAGTGCACACAATCTTGCTATAGAAAAAGGGTGACATTTAGGTTTACCAACCAATGAATGAGTTTGCAATGTATGTAAATCGGGTGAGGTAGAAGATGAAAATCACTTTTTACTGAATTGTGAAAAATATTCTAACTACAGAATAAACTTTAAAACTATTATATCAAATATATTTCCTACAAGTTATAGTGAGAATCAGGTAAATATGAAATGTTGCATTAATAGTAATTCTGTAAAAGTCCTGAAAGTGACTAGTTCTTATATATAATATACGTAAATGTCTGGATTATTGAAATGAGATTTTATCTTCTTAATCATAATATATTATCTCATTATGACAGTTTTAAGTACATTAGTGACCATCCAGTGTCAAGAGCTACACCTACAGACACATGTAACAGATTCTATTTTAAAAAAAATTTACACTACTTTCCGAAATTTTCGCTTAATACCCTGATTCTACCACTGTATGGATTTGTTTTGACCAGAAGATAGCAAACAAAGGTAAAAGGTATGAGTAAGAAAATTATCTTTGAGTTATTTTTCAAATTACATGTATAAGACCATAAAATGCATAAGAAAAATAGTATCTTAATTATATTAATTTAATATAAGATACATATATTATGCAGCTAGGATTACTCAGGATGGATAACCTTTCTTTCACCCAAAGCCTTGCGAATGAATTCCCTTTCACAGTTTGACAACGGTGTTTCTCTCATGTTGAAACTTAGAAGTCAGCAAACCTATGATCCATCACATTCTTCACTCATTGACTTATAAAATTAAAGCCCATGTGCATTTGTTTTTAAAAATTACTGTGAGGTGTTGATTTTTATGTCCAGATAGGAAATCCTTGTGCATAGGATATAAAAATGTTTCTTTCCTAATAGTTTTGTAAATGACAAGAAAAAGAACTCAAAATTGTTTAAATTGGAAAGTAATTTTCGTTTTAAAACGATGATGTCGAAAATTTTCAAAACATATCATATGAAATGAACACTTTACTGAAAATATTCTTCCTGGAAGGACACAATTTACCTCCAAGGCAAAAGATGTTGACATTAAAAATGTTCAGATGACAATCACTTCAAACGTAGCAGAAGATTGTTAGTTAAAATCCAGTTTGCAATTGATATGCTACTTAAAACATAGACTTAGGTTATGTCAGAAAAGGAATTGTCAGATATTGTAACGAGAACTGAGGGTAAGAAAATTATACAGTCCACTGTCGATTAACATGATTAACGACGATTTTCATATTTATCAAATAGATATTTTCAAATCTTCAGGCCTTATATGAATTTCTCCCTAAATTAAAAAAAAATTTTGGCCACCACTTGACATCTTTGCTGTGTAATCTTTTCAAAACTCGTACAAATGTGAAACACCAGTATTTTCCTGAAGAAATCCACATGCTACATGTATTTTGGGGAGGGGTCCCTTATATATGTGCACCACAGACTGTGAGACATAGTAGTTCAGGGATCTAGATGGGCTTTTCCAGTGTAAAAAAATGTGATTTTTAATTTCATCTTGTGACAAGTAACTTCTGCATGTTCTGCTTGCAAAGTCACAAAATTTCTGGCGTCACTTTTTCTCTAGTCCAAATAATTATGACGTCTAGAAAGGCTATTTTATTTTTTTGCTGTGAAGTCTTCCTGTTGTAGGAAGGCGTCAAAGCAAAAAATTAAAATAGCCTTGCAAGAAGTCATAATTATTTTGACTACTTTTTTTCCTGATTTCAAAATTTCCATGTTTGGCTATAAGATGCAGTGTTCCCGCCTGCCCTAAATAGAAGGGCGGCCCGCCCTTGGTGCCCTTACCCCGCCCTTCTGCCCTCCAAAGTAAAAGAATGCACCCCTCTGCCTTTTCAAAAAAATAAAATTTTCAAATTTCATGCCTACCGGCGTTTCCGGTAAAATTGTTACCTGATTGTGTAACACTAATTAACTGACAATGGGATTAAGTTAAATACCTAGTGCTTTGGCAGTTTTATCACCTTTGTTAATGATTGTTTACTGCTAATTAGTGGATTTAAGATAATTGAACAAATACTAGATATTTAATACAGAATGAAATGTCCACATGTTATCCATTTGTAATGTTTATGTACAGCATGTACACCTGAAAAAATTTATCTCAGTAGGCATAACATAAAAAATAAAATCTTAAACAATTTTAAAGGCATACATAGTTTTGACTTAATTGGTAAAAAATGTTTTGTTTCATAACCATGAGTATGAAATTTAAAGAGGAATCAAAGAAATTTGTACTTTGAACATAACAAGATTCACTTCCTGTTTTTAATACTTCTTGTATTTTATAATCCTCCTGACATAGGAGCACTCAACAAAGTTATTTTTAACAATGATGGAGAAAAAAGTAACTGTTTATACCTTCTGCAATATATAATTGCATCAATATAAAATATGATTATCTCCTGTCTCACCTGTTATATTTATAAAACTCCTTACTGAGGAGCACTTTGGTGTGCACTTAAAAATAATTTTTTGTAACAATTCAAATGAAAATAAATAACTCTCAATAATATATATACTATATGTTTGAACAAGTAATTTAAATGTAGATAATTAAATTACATTCAACATTCAATTTTGAATGTATAACTCCATCTTTCAAAACTACTTGTTTATTTTGGTATACATTATAAAACATTGAAATTCCTGATGATTATTTTCCATACCAAATGTACAAGTTTGTTTAGATTAACATCAAAATGATATGCTTTGCTTCATGGTATGATAATTTGATGGAAAAAATTCTTACTGGAACCAAAATCAAGAACACATTAATTTCTGAATATGGTTTAAATACAACTAATGTTCTCCAGCTGAGCCTAGCAATATTCAAGGTAATTTATACACTGTCCAACATTGCCCTTAAAATCTGGGTTATAACGCTAAAGTGCCCTTTCAGACAACTAGCACCCTTCTGCCCTGAGATTCAAGCTGGAACACTGAGATGAATAACAGAGACCAGTATATATGTATAGGTAAATTATGTTGCCTGTAATCAAGCATGTGCTGATAATCACCTGCACGGGTTTATTTATTTATGGCTTCTGCTTCCTTTGATGAATTAAAGAATTTAAATTTTACAGATTGACTCTAATTGTTGTGTAAAGAAATTATCATCTGATTGACCCAAACATACACTGGCTAATCAAGTCAATTCGTCATTTCAGAATCTAATGCATTCTGTGTAATATTCTCGAAAGTGTACACCATAACATTGTGATTGGTTAAAACCCCCTAAACAAGGAAAATTCAACCGTTGAAGTGAGGTTATTTTCATTTTGGGGTACGAACAATTAAACTACCCATAGCCCTTTAGATTCTGTAAAGGCCACTTGCAATCATCATTATGAACCAGGAGTTGGATTCTAATGATAACAGGATTCAGTAAGTGTTATCAGGACATGTCAACCAGGCACACATGTTCATGAAATGGCACGTCCAGGACTAGAATACGCACCTTAACAAGAACCCTGAGCCTCTAGGCACAAATTAAATTGTTAACCTTAAATTTAAAGGAAGTATTAAGTTAGATATAAAATTAATATTCCTGATCATGGCTGATGATTAATTTCTTAATGGAAAAAAACTTTGCAGTATCTTCAAGATTAACAGGCATCACTTCTGGTTACACTGTAAACTCTTCTCAAACCTTGATGTTCTATTGTGAGACAGGTGTTACCTTTGAAAGAGGACACATTCCATATTATTTTAATAGTACATTTGATCAATTACAACATGGCAGCTTCTACCAACAGCATGAATGTGCATTTGCAACTGTTGTAAAAAAAAAGTTAACAATTTTGTATTGACCAGTACATTGTTGTACATGTTGTATATTGATGTTTTTTATTTATATTTTCTTACAGTTATATCTATGAGGACTTTGTCCTCTAATACAATTAGAAAGGTATTACTAAATGTTAATGATGTGCAAGAAATCCTTTATGAAAACAAATTTGATGTCTTACTGTCTTACATGCTTGATTTAATGTCAAATGAAGGCATACACAAATGTGATGCATGTTGGGATTTTTGGGGATACATGTTCAAGATGAACATTGGACTTGGCACACATATTTTTAAACTGGTAACAAAGAAAAAAAAAATGATGGGGATTTTTCTGGCAATAAATTTTTGGAGGCCCTGCAATATAATCCATTTGGCCATTATATGACAGAAGCAGATGATGCATTGTACATGGAACTGGACTAGATTTTCCTTCTAATTTGATAAAGTTACAGCTTGTAATTTCTCCACCAATTAAGGATTGTTGGTCTGTTAAATCTAAAATTTAACAATTGAGCGATGAGAAATGAGAATATTTTCTTCCAGAATTTGATTCACACCTGGCAGACTATATGTATTCTTACAATTGGAAATATGATTATTTAAATATATTTAAGTTGTGAATTTCAGTAAAGGAGACAACAGAATTCAAGACATTGTCTATCAATAATATATTGCAGATGCTTATAATATACCTAATGAGGTCCCAAAGGTTATTGGTTTTGGGGGTAAAGATTGTCCTTCTGGCAGAGTTCATCTGACCTTGACCTAATTTTATTGGTTGATTGGTCAATGTTAAGTTTTTGTCGAGCCTGCGACTTTTGTCGCAGAAAGCTCGACATAGGGATAGTGATCCAGCGGCGGCGGCAGCGGCGTTAGCTGACTTCTTAAAAGCTTTATATTTTATAAGGTGGAAGGTCTGGATGCTTCATACTTTGTATATGGATGCCTAATGTTACGAAGTTTCCGTCAGTCACATGTCCAATGTCCTTGACCTCATTTTCATGGTTCAGTGACTACTTGAAAAAAAAGTTAAGATTTTTTGTAATGTTAAATTCTCTCTTATTATAAGTAATAGGATAACTATATTTGGTATGTGCGTACGTTGCAAGGTCCTCATACCCGTCAGACAGTTTTCACTTGACCTCGACCTCATTTCATGGATCAGTGAACAAGGTTAAGTTTTCGTGGTCAAGTCCATATCTCAGATACTATAAGCAATAGGTCTAGTATATTCGGTGTATGGAAGGACTGTAAGGTGTACATGTCCAACTGGCAGGTGTCATCTGACCTTGACCTCATTTTCATGGTTCAGTGGTTATAGTTAAGTTTTTGTGTTTTGGTCTGTTTTTCTTATACTGTATGCAATAGGTCTACTATATTTGGTGTATGGAATGATTGTAAAGTGTACATGTCTAGCTGGCAGGTGTCATATGACCTTGACCTCATTTTCATGGTTCAGTGGTCAAAGTTAAGTTTTTGAGTTTTGGTCTTTTTTTCTAATACTATATGCAATAGTTCAACTATGTTTGGTGTATGGAAATATTTTATGATCTATTTGTCAGTTACGCAGGTTTTATTTGACCATGGCCTCATTTTCAAGGTTCATTGCTCAGTGTTAATTTTTTGTGTTTTGGTCTGTTTTTTTAAACTATAAGCAATAGGTCAACTATATTTGTTGTATGGAAGAATTGTTAGCTGTACATGCCTGCCTAGCATGGTTCATCTGACCTTGATCTCATTTTCATGGTTCATTGGTCAATGTTTAGTTTACTTGGTTAATGTTAAGTTTATGTGACAGTTGTAATAAAGCTTTATATTTAGGACTATCAACATAATATCAATGATTAGTAAAGAAGGCGAGACATTTCAGCGTGTGCACTCTTGTTGTAACTAGGTCCTTTTCTCTGATTTTATACAGGTTATAAGCAATAGGTTAAGTACAATGTGTATTTGATTTATTGAATGATTCTAAGGATTACTGTGTCCCTCTAGCAGAGTTCATCTGACCTTGACCTCATTTTTATGATTCATTGATAATGTTGAGTTTATGTGATGCATGTAGATGTAGTAAAACCTTGATCTTAAAGACTTTCAAATCAACATAAGATTCAATAATGATTAGGAAAGCAGACAAGAAGTTTCATTGTGTGCACTCTGTTTTTTTTTTTGTAACATGTTTTGGTTTGTTGCATGCATATAATGGTTCATGTTATATAATTAAATGAACATTTATTGATTAAAATTTACATTTAATAACAGAAAATAGTAGAAAAAGTTGGAATTTGGAAGAGCAAGTTGAGTTTGCATCTGACTTAGTTGCCAGTGTAAACAAATAAATCATTAGAATTATGACTGGAAAATCTAAGACAATGACATT